TTTCCACTTAGCACCTTCTCCCTAACAATATCTACCTGGCAAACTTCACTCAACCCAAAACTCAGGGCCTCAACCTGTGTGCGGCCCATGTTTCAAAGGACGAGCCAGGGGCTCAGATGTCCCTTTATAGACAAGGAAGGAACCTCCAGGTTGGCTACTCCTGGATTCCCTAGCTCAGAACACACATTCAGATGCGTCTGCTATACAGGGTCATTCTAAGGGTATGTATGCTTCAGTTATTGCTATCAGGCACGTTTACCACATGCTCCCAACACCCAATAAAGTGAAGACACAAAAATTAAAAATTAAAAAGCCAAAAGTTCACCAGCATCAACGAAATAAGGGAAACAAACATGCTAAAATTGTAAAAAGAGTCAGCCAAGAGGAAAAAATAGAAAATTCTTCCACCTGTATTCCCTGAAACTAATAACCAGGAAAGAAATGTCATGCTGAGATTCTCATAAATACCCTCCAATTGTGAGAAGCCAACAGGGGAATGGGTGAGCAGCTCTGAAAAAGTTAAGGAAAGCCCTTGAGGGCAGAAGCCCATGCATATCACAGATGCTCGAGAGTGGCAGGGCAGGCAAGCAGGGCAGGCCACCTTCCAGGGTGCTGGGCCATCCTTGAAGACTACCCAGATCCTGGAGTGGTGACAGAGGGACACCACTGGCTGGTGGAGGGGGCTCTGGGACAAGACTTTAATGGAGTCTGGGAAGACAGAACAGAGGCTAGCCCTCCGACAAGGGGCTCACTCAGCATGAGCTGAGCTCCGGTTCTCTCCTGCACCTCTTCAGGGTAGAATAGAATAGAGAGAAAGCAACCTAACATTTGAAGTGGGGAAGACAACCAGTTCCACGTAAGCGGGGAGAATGACAAGGAGACTCCACACACTGTATCTGAGCAAGTAAAAGGTGGGGATAATGTAGGTGCTGACATCAAGCATGGATAAGATGAAAACAAATGGCATGGAAACTAGGCAAACATACCACAACCAACAGAAGGACAGAAAGAAGGAGGGGAGGAAGGAAAAGAAAACCCAGGAACTCAGTCTGGGAGAAAGTGGCTTCTCCATGGCTATCTCAAGCTATGGATGATTCAAGAGAAGTAAAAATCTAATATAACAAAAGCTCAAAGACAAGATAATATGCCACAGAATAAGATGAAAAGATTGCAGAGCGAAGGAAACAAATTTAGATCCAAATGGCACCCGTAATGAGCTAGTAGATAAACTAGAGCAGTAAAGAACAAAATAGACATGACTGAAAATTGAGTAAGGCATAGAGTAAAGGTCTGAAATTATTTTAGTGAATACAGGGAAAAAAGAAAAAAAATCCTATCACACAATCAATAGAAATGTGATAAATATGGAAGGCAAAGGTGATGAAACAAATAACTAATTTCCTGAAATAGAAAATCCAGTAAGTATAACAGAGAAAATACTCAGAAATAGAAATCAAAAAATTATCCCTGATTTGAAGGAAAGAGTAAATCTGGCCTCAGTATTCTCCAAAACCATATTCAAAAACCAGAAGGCAGTCAGGCATGATGGCTCATGCCTATAATCCCAACACTTTGGGCGGCCGAAGCAGGAGGGATACTTAGGCCCAGGAGTTTGAGACCAGCCTCAGCAACACAATGAGACCTCAACTCTATAAAAAATTTAAAAATTAGCAAGGCATGGTGGTGAATGCCTATAGTCCTAGCTACCTGGGAGGCTGATGTGGGAGAAATGCTTGATCCCAGGGGATGGAGATTACAGTGAGCCATGATTGTACCACTGTACTCGAACCCGGGCCTGGGTGACAGAGCAAAACCCTGTCTCCAAAAAAACCAAACAACAACAAAAACAAACAACAATAAAAAACCAAACCAGAAGGCAATTGATCAGAAATGTCTAAAAAGATCTCAGTATACCCAGTTATGGTCTTTTTTTCTTCCCTTTAAACACTTTTAATTAATTTATGTATTTAGAGATAGGGTCTCACTTTGTCACTCAGGCTGGAGTGCAGTGGGCAAAATCATGGCTCACCGCAATCTCAACCTCCCAGGTTCCAGTGATCCTCCTACCTCAGTCTTCCAAGTAGCTAGGATTACAGGCATATGCCACCATGCCCGGCTAATTTTTTGTTTTTTGTAGAGATGGGGTCTCACTATGTTGCCCAGGCTGGTCTTGAACTCCTGAACTCAAGTGATCCTCCCACGTCAGCCTCCAAAGTGCTGGGATTACAGGTGTGAGCCACCACACCTGGCCTAAAAAATTTATTTTAAAAAAGGAATTTATCTCTTACAGTTGTGGAGGCTGAGAAGTCCAAGGTCAAGGGGCCACATGTGGTGAGAGCCTTCTTGCTGGTGGGGACTCTGTGAAGTCCCAAGGCGGCACAGTGTATCGCACAGTGAGGGGGCTGAGCATGCCAGCATGCTATCTCTTTTCAAGTATAAAGGTAACAGGCAGAAATTCTCAAACATAAATGAGCTTAAAAATACAACACATTCCAGCTCTAATAATAAAAAACCACTGGACAATTGTGATCCTTGAGCATTCTGAAACAAAACACAAAAAACCACCACACAAGAAATCCTGCCCTCCAGCACTTGCGAAGGTGAAAGCGAAGTAAGTTGTGAACACGAAATACACTGAAATGTAGGACCCCCACTGTAGCTGAAGGAATGATGAGTGCAGAACAGATAATAATAAGACTAACAACAAAAATTAAGGTCGGGGAAAGATAAGAATGGGTAGAAATTTAAGTACTAATTGCCTCATCTTTCACTGTAGGAAGTCAAATATTCTGTTCTCTGTATATGAAATTAAATGTAGTATGTTCTGCTTTAAAAACAATAGCATATATAATATATCCTATTTTTTGAAACTATTTCCATTTATCTTGTTATCCTTTAAACCAGACATCTGGCCGGGCGCGGTGGCTCAAGCCTGTAATCCCAGCACTTTGGGAGGCCGAGGCGGGTGGATCACGAGGTCAGGAGATCGAGACTATCCTGGCTAACATGGTGAAACCCCGTCTCTACTAAAAATACAAAAAACTAGCCGGGCGTGGTGGCGGGCGCCTGTAGTCTCAGGTACTTGGGAGGCTGAGGCGGGAGAATGGCGTGAACCCGGGAGGCGGAGCTTGCAGTGAGCCGAGATCACGCCACTGCACTCCAGCCTGGGAGACACAGTGAGACTCCGTCTCAAAAAAAAAAAAAAACCAGACATCTGAAAAGAAACACGTCTAGAATGATGGGCACCAAAAGTTAACACTGTTCCTTTCTGAAAGGTGGGATATTGAGGGATTAGTTAATGATGGTTAGAAATCTTTAGGAGCTATGCTTATGAATGATTTTTCCCCTTTTCTCTGCTTATATATTCTGTATTTTGAAATGCATCCATATACATTAAAACAAAAAACAAAAAAACACCTGAATGCTTCTGGCCATAGTTTAGATAAATCATGAGACAATTGAGAATGACAAAAAAGAACAAGACTGAGAAAAGACTCTGCCACAGAGAAAACCAAACTTGTTTAAAGGCAAACGAGCAGATATTAGCAGAGAAAAAGCAGACTGAGAAGCAAGGGCACTTGAAATGAGTAAGTGTTCCACCAGTTCACTAATAAACCCCATCTAAATGCCAGTAACTCCCAAATTAATACCTCCATACCAGGTCTTTCCCTGAACCCCATATTCCTATCCAACTACTTACTCACGAGCATAGTTGGCCCTCCCTACATGTGGATTCTACATTCATGGATTCAACTAACCACGATTGAAAATATCAAGCATCTGTACTGAACATGTATAGAACTATTTTTCTTGTCATTACTCCCCAAACAATACAGTACAACTATTTACATAGTGGTCACATCTTGCCCCTACATCTATTCTCTAAACAGCAGCTAGAGTGATCCTTTTATTTATTTATTTATTTATTTATTTGAGAGGGAGTCTTGATCCGTTACCCAGGCTGGACTGCAGTGGTACGATCTTTGCTCACTGCAACCTCCATCTCCTGGGTTCAAGCAATTCTCCTGCCTCAGCCTCCCGAGTAGCTGAGATTACAGGTGCCCACCACCCTGCCTGGCTAATTTTTGTGTTTTAGTAAACACAGCATTTCACCATGTTGGTCAGGCTGGTCTTGAACTCCTGACCTCAAATGATGCAACTGCCTCGGGCTCCCAAAGAGCTGGGATTACAGGCGTGAGTCACTGTGCCCAGCCTAGAGTGATCCTTTTAAAGCATAGATCAGATCACAGCATTCCTTTGCTCAAAACTCTCCAAAGGCTCACATCTTACTCAGAGTAAAACCCAGTCTCTACCATGCCCTGTAAGGTATCATACCTTATGATTTCCAGCACAGGTTCCTGCCTCAGGACCTCTGTGTTTGCTCTTCCCTCCATCCAAAATGTTTTCCCCCGAGTTACAAGGTTCACTTTCTTACTTCTTTCAGATCTCTTCTCCAATCATGTCAGAGAGGAGTTCCTTGACTTTTCTACTAAAATTCCATCCCCACACCCTTTTCCTGCTTTATAGAGAGCAAGAATTCTGTCTCTTTCTTTATAGGTATCTCCCTAGAGCTTAAAAAAGTATCTGACACAAAACAGACACTCATTTGTTAAATGAATGAATCGATAAAAGAACCCAGGATTTTATTATTCTCAAAATATTATAAAGTCTTTCCTTTTTATTGATCAGACTACTTGCATCACTATAATTCAGACAAATATTATTTGTTCTTAGTAAGCAGTACATGTAAGTTACGAAAATCTCTACCAAGCCTAGGAATAAAGGTTGGTTTCTGGTCAATTCCACACATGTGTGTTTGATGAAGGAAGGAGTTGTCACCAGAATCAACCAACACAGACCTTAGTCAGTGGAAAAGAGAGCTCTGGCTGCCTTATCGCCTATTTATGAGACTTCAGAAACTAATGTTGGCTTTAGAAAAAAAAGACAAAAAGGAAAAAAAAAAAAAAAGAAAACATAAACTAATGTTGGCTTAACTGTACCTGTCCCTGTTGGGTCACCTCCTTGGATCATGAAGTCTTTGATAATTCTGTGGAATTTTGTGCCATTGTAGTAACCTCGACGAGCCAACTCAGCAAAGTTCTTACAGGTCTTTGGAGCATGCTTCCAGTACAGCTCCAGCACAATGATTCCCATGCTGCAGAGGGAGAGGACAACAGCTCCAGTAAAGAACAAGGTCAGGGCAGACAGGAATATTACGGGACTGCTCCAGGACTCTTGCTTTTCAAGCTTGTAAGTCATGAAATTGTGATAACCACTGGATTTCATGCTCAGCAAAGGAAAACACCACAATGCAAGTAACATAAACACCAATTATCTTTTTTGAGTAAAACATGCAGGTGTTCTGGGTACTTCTTTTCAGCAAAATTACAAGCATGGAGAACTCAAAATTCTAATACTCTCTCTCTCTATATATATCTGATTATCTGAAACCATATAACCAACCCCTAAATTAGGAAAAAAATTATTACACTTAATTTTTAATTTTTTTAAAAAAGAGACATTAAAATATCAGGAGTTCATATTTATTTAGAAGTTTCTGGGTGGGGGTAGGGACTGGGTAGATGGAAAATAGGAAGATGTTTAATGAATACCTTTTAAAAACTTTTGTATTTTTGATCCAAGTAAGTATATTACTTATTCAAAAAATTTTAATAAAAGGTATAGTTTGTGTTTGTTTGGGAGAGAGTATAACAAAGGCAAAACCTGATAACTTTGAATCTTTGCACCTCCCAATAGGATGAGTGCTTTTCCTCCCCAGTACTACTAAAAGATAAGGAACAGGCAAGAGAAAGGACAGGTGCCTTCCCCTCTACTCCAACACATACCTAGACTTTAAGCTCCAAGGATGTGACAATTTTTTTTTTTTTTTTTTTTTTTTTGAGAAAGGGTCTCCTCTGTCACCCAGGTTACAGTGCAGTGGCACAATCTCAGCTAATCGCAACCTCTGCCTCCCGGGCTCAAGTGATCCCCTCACCTCAGCCTCCTGAGTAGCTGGGACTACAGGCACGCATCACCAAGCTCAGCTAATTTTTTGTATTTTTTTGTAGAGATGGGGTTTTGCCATGTTGCCCGGGCTTGTCTTGAACTCCTGGGCTCAAGCAATCTACCTGCCTTGGCCTCCCAAAGTGCTGGATTACAGATGTGAGTTACGGCACCAGGCCAGATGTGAGAATTGAGTCAACTCTGTATCTCTGTATAGTCTGAATGCCCGGTGACTTGCACAGTGTAAACACTCTATTAGTATATGAGGAATGTGCTAGAAAATAGCTAACAGCCTTCCTGCCTGCAATTCATCTTTCACACTGCTCCCATTCAACACAGACTAACAGTTACTCTGTGCGTGGCACTATTTTAGGCACTGTTTCCCTCATGAAGCTTACATTCTGGTGGATATTTTCAACATACAGGAAGTAGCCATTTGGAAAGACAATCAGGAAGTACATATACACTTCTGAAATGTGCATACCTCAGCAATTTCAACTTCCAAGTATCCTCTAGGAAAATATACAAAACTGCCTAAGGATACAATATGTGCAACGATGTTCATCTCAGTATTTGTCATAGCCAAAAAAAAAAAAAAAAAAGGAAGCAACTTAAATGTCCTTGAAATAGGAAATACCTAAAATATCAACTATCCATCCTATGGGCAGCTAGCTGAATTACTGAGTGAAAGAAAACCAAGTTACAGAAAAAACATACATAGAGTATGATCATATGATCCCATTTTTTTATGTTAAAAAAAGCATAAAAAAGAGGTTTATGTGTACATAGAAAAAGGTCTGGACAATTATCCAACAAACCGTTGATAGTGTTTTCAGGAAGGAGGTGGCTTTCACTTCTTACTCTGTATGTCCACATTGCTTGGATTTAACAATTTATTTTGCAACTTTAAAAAATACCAACAGGAGAATTCAGAAACTACAGGTTGGAGCCTGAAGATGTAGAATTTTACCATAAAAGAAGGTGGGGAAGATGGCCAGGGAGCATGAACAGCATGAGCAAATATAGAGAGGACTGACAGAACTCTGCTTTGGCTGAAAGCAGCAATGGGCAAGAACAGAAAGGCAGAGGACCTTAGCTGGTCTCTGGCCGCTGAAGGGGGCATGGCAGGTAGACAAGGGCCAGATGAAAAAAATCACCTTGAATGCCAGGATTAATACGTTTTTACTTTATACTGTTAAAGCAGCAAGACATTATTAAAGGTTTTTGAGCAGGATCCCTTCCTTGTCCTATTTTGTAAAGATCACTTTGAGCTTTTTCCAAAGAGGCAATGAAATGAATAGAGCTAAAGAACTTGCAAGGTGAGACGGGCACACCAGGCTCCAAACGAGGTTCTTCCAGTTACTAGCTGTGTGGCTTTGGTCAAGGCTTTAATCTGTAAATTCGGCGTTTCCTCCTGCTAATATTGAAAGGGAGAAAGTTAAATAATACCTTCATGATTTGGGTTGCTAAGATTAAACTAAATGAGGTGACATACAGCGGGGCATGGCGCTAGCAGGCTGGTTACCACATCACTCTTTGATAGTGGGGAAAATGTGCTTCTTCCTGTATTTTATTGGAATTTGTTTCTACAACTGTACTACTTATCACGTAATGTTTCCATGTCTGTCTCTTTCATTATACCGTAAGCTCCTAAAGGCAGGGCTGTGTGTTTTTTATCTACCGCTATCTCCTCAGAATTTATATCCTATGTGCCTGGCTTGCGGCCTCATTACACGCTTGTTGAATGAATGAATGAACGAATGAATGAATGAATGAATGAGTGGACTGGAGGAAGGAGGACAATGAGGCAGCTGTTGCTGAGACCTCAGCAGAAAACCGCGCGGAGCTTGGACGCGGGCGATGGCGGTCCCCTCTCAACCCTCTGGGGGCCGTCTCGGCCGTTGCTCCACGCCCCTCCACGTGGAGGCCGGGCTCCCGGAGGAACGCGCCAGGAACGGAGACCCGTGGTGAGGCCCGGGCTCCGTGTCTCCTCTGCCAGCCCCAGAGGCCCGAACCCCCTCACCTGGTCTCCAAGTAAACGTTGGGTGGCTGCCAGGAATCTGGGGGAATTGCCGCCATAGCGAAGCCGGCGGCGGAATGCTTCTCTAGCAATGGCTACTTCCGGCGTCGATTAGCTGGGGACCCGCCGCTGCTGCACACTTCCGGTCCCCGCCGTTCAACCCTTTCGATACCAGGATTTGGGTGGCCAGGACGAGGAAGAGGACGGTCCCTTCTTCCAATGCCGGGAAGCTGAGGTGGGAGGCGAGAAGAAGCTGGGCGCGAGAACAGAGAAAAATGCAAACTTCATTCGCGGTGGTCTCCAAGTGGCGCCACTCTGGGCGATCTGATTGGTTCGTTTAGGCATGGAAGGCGGGAACAACCAGAAAAGCTAGGCTCTGGTTGGAGTTATGTCCTAACATTAAATTCGAAGAATTTCTTAGTCTCACAATTGGGCAGGGACGGGAAGGGGAGGCAGAGAATGAAAGGGAACAGTTTAGAGATGCCAGTAAAGAATTTTTGTAAGGCGCTGTACGATGTACACAGTGCTTGCACTTTCTTATCTCATCTACTCCACAAAACAATTCTGTAAGTAGATAGTATTATTCCCATTTTTCAGATCTGAAAACAGACTCGGCAGTTAAATACTTGTTTTTACATAGGCATAAAGCAAATCTGAGCCTGCAGAATCCAAAGACAAGGAGTCTGAGGAGAAGAGAGAGGGAAAGGGCAGGAAGAAAATGGGAGATAAAGAAAGGAAGACACAGGAGAAAGCAGGACAAAGGGATCAGAGCAAGAACAAGGCTTAACATCATTGGTTGGGATAGATGGTACCTGAAAGTTGTTAGGAGGGTTTGCGCAGGGCCCGAGGAAGAGAAGCAAATTAGAGGAGCTATAATGTTTGGAGGGAAGACAAGAATGAAATAGAGTAACTAAACTTATGCTGTAAATGCTTTGCACACCACTTAATAATGATGGTTGAATGTTTACTATGTGCCAGGCATCAAGCTAAGCATTTTATTGCGTATTTTCACGCTTAATCTTCAAAACCCCACAAGGTAGATATTACTATTCCCATTTTACTTTGAGGAAGCTGAGCCTTACAGATTAAATAACTTGCTTAAAGTACTACAGCTGGTGCACTTGTGCTCTTAACGACAGTTCAACTGTAGTGTCCCTAATTGTCAACAAGGAATAAGGATGTACAAGGTTGTAAAGATAAACTAGACAGTTTCTTGAGAGAGGAGCTGGGCATCCTTCATCTTTGTGCTCTTCTTGCACAGTACTGAGCACAGGGTGCTCAGCTTTTGTTGAATGAATAATGAACGGAACACTACATTTTAAACTGATAAATGCTAAAGTATAATTTTTACACCTCCTGCAATCTGAAGTTCATGCCCACCTTGTGGCCCTTGAGCTGGATGAAAAAGTCTTAATCCTTGGTCTGTTTAGTCTGTTGTTAATTTGAGTTGCCCTTCTCTGGACTTTATGTAGTTCCTTACTGTATATCCTGGGAGGCATGTGCCATTCCCAGGCTCCAATGTCTGAATATTGAAAAGCCACCCCCAAGATCATGATCACTTTCTTCCTAAATCTTTTACTGCAGCTCCTACCAGTCACTTGGCACTGAGGAGACAGGGATGAGTCTCACACACACAGTGCCCTGCCCTAAAGAAACTCACATTCTAGGAGAGATAGGCAAATAAATACGTAGCTAAAGGAGCGTGGAATGAGGACTGTAATAAGAAGCACACAGTAAGTTGGGTGCAGTGGCTCACACCTGTAATCCGGCACTTTGGGAGGCCGAGGCGGGCAGATCATCTGAGGTCAGGAGTTCAAGACCACCCTGACCAACATGGTGAAATCCTGTCTCTACTAAAAATACAAAATAAGCTGGGCATGGTGGTGCATGCCTGTAATCCCTGCTACTTGGGAGGCTGAGGCAGGAGAATCACTTGAACACGGGAGGAGGAGGCTGCAGTGAGCAGAGATTTTGCCATTGCATTCCACCCTGGACAACAAGAGTGAAACTCCGTCTCAAAAAAAAAAAAAAAAAGAAAAGAAAAAGAAACACACAGTTTTCCCTGAGCTCTGGTTACTCCAGAGTAGGTTTGAACAGTCAAAAATTTCCCCTGGAGTGATAGCCTGGGTTGAGATCCAGAAAATAAATTGGAGTTAGCCAGAAGCCATGAGGGGTCAAATCAAATCACGAAATAAAATGTCTCCAATTCCTCAGAAGCCCCCCTACCAATCATTACCCAATCCTTCCTCCCAAAGGGTAAATCACTTTCTGCCTTCTAATATCATAGATTGGTTTTCCCTGTTTTTGAATTTTATATAAATGGAGTTATAAAGTACGTATTTTTTTGTGCCTGGCTTCCTTTCCTTAGCAATATGTTTGTGAGATGTATTCATGTTGTATGTAGTGGCCATTTTTCATTTTTCCTTGCTGTGTAGTATTCTGTTGTACAAACATACCACAATGTATAATGGTGCTGTGATGGATATTTGTGTATGTATCTTAGTGCACTTGTGCATGAATTTTTGGGAGTATATACCTAGAAGCAGAATTGCTGGGTCATAGGTAACATGTATAATTTAGTAGTTAACACTAGACTGTTCCAAAGTGACTGTAGCAATTTTTTTTTTTTTTAGACACAGTCTCACTCTGTCGCCAGGCTGGAGTGCAGTGGCACGATCTCGGCTCACTGCAACCTCCACCTCCTGGGTTCAAGCGATTCTCCTGCCTCAGCCTCCCAAGTAGCTGGGACTATAGGCACATGCCACCACATCCAGCTAACTTTTGTATTTTTACTAGAGACAGGGTTTCACCATGTTGGCCAGGATGGTCTCGATCTCTTGACCTTGTGATCTGCCCACCTTGGCCTCCCAAAGTGCTGGGATTACAGGCATGAGCCACCACGCCCGGCCAGTGGCTATAGCAATTTATTTATGCACCAGCAGCCTGTGAGAATTGCTGTTGCTCTGCTTCTGAGCCAACTCTTAGTATTGCCAGTCTTTTTCGTTTAAGGAATCCTGAAGCCTCTACAACAATATCTCAGTAGTAATTTCACTAACAACTAATGACTAATGAAGTTGAATTATTTTTCCATATGTGTGCCATTTAGATATCCTCTTTGTGATATCTTTTTGTGTTCAAATCTTCTACCTATTTTTCTATTTGGCTATGTTTTCTTATTTGTAAAGTTCCTTATGTATCCTGGACAGAATATAACACTGGAAAGTTTCTAATTTTAATGTAGTCCAACATATGCATTTTCTCTCTTGCAGAACATCTCAGTGTTGGACAGACATTATTGCACATCTCAATATTATAGCTTTATAATTCCGTTTTGTTTTGTTTTGTTTTGTTTTGAGACGGAGTCTCACTCTGTCCCCCAGGCTGGAGTGCAGTGGCGTGATCTCCACTCACTGCAAGCTCCGCCTCCCAGGTTCAAGCCATTCTCCTGCCTCAGCCTCCCGTGTAGCTGCGACTACAGGCACCCGCCACTGCGACTGGCTAATTTTTATATATTTAGTAGAGATGGGGTTTCACTGTGTTAGCCAGGATGGTCTCAATCTCCTGACCACGTGATCTGACCGTCTCGGCCTCCCAAAGTGCTGGGATTACAGGCATGAGCCACGGTGCCTGGCCTTGTTTTTATCATATAGATCTGCAATGCATCTAGAACTTATTCTGGTGTATGGTATGAGGTAGGAGCCAAGTTTCATTTTTTTCTATATGGATATACAATTGACCCATCACCATTGATTGAAAGCATTATCCTTTCCTCACTCCTCTATTTCACCTCTTTGTCATAAATCAAGTGTCCATGTATGTGTTTTCTGGTTTTGGTCTCTCTATTCTGTTTCATTGGTTTCATACATTTACATCACTGTCACACTACCTCTGTAGCTATAGCATTAGTCTGAACCCAGTAGTATTTTGTTTGCAGATTTCTTGTAGAAAGCAGTTAAGAGCTTTGGCGCTACACACAGGGCAGAATAAGGAGTCTAGGTTCAAATGCTGATCCTTCCACTCCTTATCTGTAAAATCTTGAGCGAGTTAACCTCTCCATAAACTTCAGTTTTGTTTGTATGAGGATGTTATGGGGCTATTTATGCCATAGAGTTGATGAAGTGGCTCCATGAATTGAAAGTGCTTAGTACAGTCTGTCACACTGTTAAAGAAAACTAAATATGGCCTGAGAAGGGCTCTGTCCTTCTATATTTGAGTCCTTGTGGATGAACTGTAACCTAGCTTTATAGTCAGACAAATTTGAAAACCTAACTTAATAGTATATACCTGTAACAATAGCTGAATGTTGGCCAATCCCAGCGGCCATACTTCAATAACTCATAGACTGCTGAATGTTCAAACTATGTTCAAATAAGGCAAACACTGAGCTTTAACCAATCTCGCTGTTTCTGTACCTCACTTCCGATTGCTGTACCTTACTTTATCTTTTTGTCTGTAAATTTATTCTGATCACGAGTCACCCCTGGTGTCTCTGTGAGTCTGCTGTGATTCTGGGAGTTGCCCGATTTGCGAATCATTCATTGCTCAATTAAACTCCTTTAAACTTAATTTGGCCGAAGTTTTTCTTTTATCAGATGGTGTCAGGAGTGGGATCCAAAGTGGAGCTTCTAGCGACCACCAGGAGCACTGAGTGAACATGCAAGGTACCTGCAGGACCCACTTGTGTCCATCGATCTCTCACAGCACCTGGGGATCACAGGTAAGCTTCCTCTCGGATCTCTCTTTCCTTTCCCTTTTTTATCTTTTCTATTACTCAGGGCAACCAGCTTGCCCAGAGACCACGTGTTGAAACCCCTAGTCAGAGACTGGATTAAAGATGATGGGGCCCACCTGAAGGCAAATATAAACCTTGCCAGTATGATACTGGGTGCTAAGCAGAGTGGCTGATGTCTATGTTTTATCACATGTATTTTGCTCTGGTCAGAAAAAAAAATTTTTTTTCCTTTATGATGCGGCTTGGCCCCCAGTGCGATGGTGTGGCAAGTTGGGTCACTGGGGCCACTGAGGGAAAGGGAACCCAGAAGCCTGGCATGCCGGCAAAAGGATAAGAATTTCTTACCGGATTTTTGGCTTCTCTCTCTCTGTGCAAATGGTTGAATGAATGGTAACAATCACTGTTTATTTACCTATCTCTTCTGTAAGGTTTTGATTAACGTGAAAAAAATTCTCAGACTAGTCTTAAACTGATGTATTTGTGCTATGAATTTGTTTTTCTGGGTCAAGGGGTACCTTAGGATAAAACATGGGCTTAGGACCCCATAAGCTCGCTGGTCAATAACAAACTTTCCGGCAGGTCCCTGAAACAAACAAACAAAAAAACTGGATGGGGTCTCCATCTTGTTTTATGTCCTTGGGAGCTTGACCTTGTAACCACATGGCAGTACTTTCTCTTGGTCTCCACTTCCCAGGGAACAGGAATTTTACGGTTTATGCATAGTTAGCTCTAAAAATTAAAGCCTCTGCAAGCTCAAAATCAACTACTCTAGACTCCTTCTGGGAAGGGCAGTAGAGACCGCTCTGTGCTGTGGCTCACTGGCCTTTCACACTGGCAGTTCCAGTTTCATTCCCTGCTTAGGAAGTAAGTCCTTTCTGGTTTAATATCTGCATAACCTTGTCTAGTCTTTTCTCCTCCACAGACTATCTTAAATTTTCCTTCCTTGAGCACCTAGGAGGTTACCTTTGGTAAAGTTCAAAAGCCAGAAATATCAACCATTTGGCCTGAGTAAAATCAGTAATAAGAAATTTTAAGGCCAGGCGCGGTGGCTCAAGCCTGTAATCCTAGCACTTTGGGAGGCCGAGACGGGCAGATCACGAGGTCAGGAGATCGAGACCATCCTGGCTAACATGGTGAAACCCCGTCTCTATTAAAAAATACAAAAAAATTAGCCGGGCGAGGTGGCGGGCGTCCGTAGTCCCAGCTACTCAGGAGGCTGAGGCAGGAGAATGGCGTGAACCCGGGAGGCGGAGCTTGCAGTGAGCCGAGATCCGGCCACTGCACTCCAGCCTGGGCCACAGAGCGAGACTCCGTCTCAAAAAAAAAAAAGAAATTTTAAAAGGACTTTATTAAAGAGTGCTATGGTTAAAAGTCAGGTTAACTAAAAGTGGATATTCAGGCTCTAATGGCCTGGAATCCATGGGAAAAACAGGAGGCACCAGAAACCCTTTTCCTGGCCCTGTTCTTCCAAGGACTCCACCATAAAACCACTACCCAATTAAGAAACTTAAAAACTGGCAAATGAAAAATCTTACAACTACTATAGTAATCTTCTTCTGTCTGTCTGTCTAGCTATATATGTGTTGTGTGTAATGTTCATATAAAAGAGCTCTAATTAATTGGCTTAAACAAAAAAGAAGCACTTAAATATTTTGAAAGCAAAAACTGTAATGCCTTTTAGTTCATGTAACTTTAGTAATCTTTGGGAAATAAAAACAGCTTTAAATATTATTGATAAAATAAAGACATTTTGTCTAAATTATGCAGGTCAGATATTAGCTTTGCTATATGCTTTAAGGTCATAAACTGCTTTGACTTTTGAAAATCGTTCGACTTATTTTGGAGACGTTAAATTCTAAATAAGGCCTGGGGATATATGGAATTAGCCATGCCCCCTAGTTATACAAAGAATATAAAGAAAACAGGTTTTATATAAGAAAGGATGTTGTATGGTAAATTCTTGTCCTAAAGTAAAATGACTAGTTGTTTAAAAAAAGGGATGTTTAGGGCAAGTCAGAAAGTCTAAACATGTCATACATAGTTTGTGTAACTTGTGAAATAATTGATGAAAAGGAATTTATGCCAGAAATGTTGTACAATTTAAAGGTGATTAGGCTTCCTAAATGCTTCATAAAATGTCACCATGACTCTTATGGTGTACAGCCTGCCTGCTTCACAGCTAGTTAAGGCCTGGGACACCTGGAGTTAGATGCTGGAAAGAGTCGGACCTTTATCTGCATTTCTGCCTGGGTCCTGGGCTCCACACCGAGTACATAATTAAAATCCCTTACTTACCAAGGTTTTCGCCAAAAGTAAAAGTTGCTAAGAGTTAACATTGTAATATGTAATTGAGACTACTGAAAAAATAGGTTTACATGCAAGGTGTATAAGGAGAATGAAATGTGTTTTTTGTAAGAGATTATAAGAAAATATAGGAATGTAAATTTTTGCCTAGGTTGGAGGGTTAAAGGATTGTTTTAAATTAAATAAAGCTAAAGGTTTGAACAAGTTGTGGAAGGTTTATAAAAATTAATTACAGAGGCCGGGCACAGTGACTCATGCCTCTGATCCCAGCACTTTGGGAGGCCGAGGCGGGCGGATCACCTGAGGTCAGGAGTTCAAGACCAGCCTGGCTAACATGGTGAAATGCTGTTTCTACTAAAAATACAAAAAATTAGCCAGGTGTGGTATTGCACACCTGTAATCCCAGCTACTGGGGAGGCTGAGGCAGGAGAATCACTTGAACCCAGGAGGCGGAGGATGCAACGAGCCAAGATCACGCCATTGCACTCCAGCTTGGGCAACAAGAGCGAAACTCCATCTCAAAAAAAAAAAAACAAAAAAAACAAAAAAATTAATTATAAGGATTCTATGTGTGAACATATTGGCTAAAGTTAAAATGGCATTATTCAGTTTTTTTTTCCATAAATTGGACATTGGAATAAAAGCACAAGAGAGTTTTCTTAGAAGATTTTTCTGCTCTGAGAAAAAAAATAGTACAGGATTATAAAAGGTTTATAAAAATCTTACCTTATGGTCAAACTAACTAAAACTGAATAGATTTATAAAATGTTATTAAAAACTAGCTTTAACATTAAAAATACACTAAAGGAAACATAAAATTTGGTTTTCTCTTTTAGAAAGGATTTTTATTTAATATTAAAAGATAATGAAAGGTTTTTGTTTACCTTTTAAGTAAACTACAAAAAAAAATATTGGTGGGGGAAGGAAAGAAAGGAGACAGTCAGTTGGCCTCATGCTATCCTCATTGGATCTTGTTTGGAAAGCTAAGTCTCCTTCCTATTTTTAGGTTATCATTTTGGCTAAATGAATGACTTATGGTAACCTAAGATTTTTTTTTTTTTTTTTTTTTTTTTTTGAGATGGAGTCTCACTCTGTCGCCCAGGCTGGAGTGCAGTGGCGCAATCTCGGCTCACTGCAAGCTCTGCCTCCCGGGTTCACGCCAGTCTCCTGCCTCAGCCTCCCGAGTAGCTGGGACTACAGGCGCCCGCCACCATGCCTGGCTAATTTTTTTGTATTTTTAGGAGAGACGGGGTTTCACCGTGTTAGCCAGGATGGTCTCGATCTCCTGACCTCGTGATCCGCCCGCCTCGGGCTCCCAAAGTGCTGGGATTACAGGCGTGAGGCACCACGCCTGGCCGGTAACCTAAGATTCTATTTTGTAATATCCAGTGTTTTAAACCTTTGGTATTTAACAGACCTTTCAAAATCAAGCTCTAGATTATCGTGCTAAATCAGCCAATACTAAAATTGTTTAAATATACAATTTGAATGAACTCCATGATCTAAGTCAAATTACCTATGATAACCCATTACTTATCAGTGCTATACACCTAAATTGGAGAAACAACTGGTATTCAAGAGGACATAAGTCCAGTGTTAAGCATGGACTCATGAAGAACCAGGACAGCCACCTTGTCCTTCTTGAGTCCTTAAAGCTTTTATTAAAGGTTCCGGAAAAGATAAAATAATCCAAATTTAATATATTGATGTGGTGACTTATACATTGCAGAAATAGTTTAAATCCAGTGTTTGGTTCCATATTCCTGGAAAGACAATCAAAGCTTCAGATGCATTTGGCTACCTGATGGGCCATTTAAACATTTATAAAGGGATTTCATTCAATTGTCATTTTCAATGCATGTTTTCTGGTTGTATAAAAGCTTTCCCATGCAACAGGGCTGATGTAGATTATAGTGTATTTTCACCAGGCAAAGAAAACTTTTTATGATTCACTGAGGACAATCCCTTCACAATCTAGAACCTGCAGATTGGATCGTCTGAGAACACCAGAGAAAGAGAAAGACTGTCCTTGCCATCCACACTACAGCAAAACTTTGGAGCTTTAAACCTTGGGTTCATAATCTCACAACTGAGGAGGGTCCCTCCACACTCCTGGAACTGTACACCCATTGGAACCCTTAAGGTAAAACTAACCAGAAAAGTTTCTCCCCAGAAGAAGATGGCATCCTTGATGTGAAGAGCTTTTCCAAGATCATAGATCAAAACTTCTACTATCACAAGACTTTTATCTTTGAATATTTTTTCCTTGTTTATGCCTCTATGAACAATAGAAATTAAAAGGGGGTCTATTATATGCACTTATAGGGTATACTTTTATTTGTGAAGGATTTTGCAACCAGCCTTAAACATGAATAACCTTATACTTCAATAGATAAAAGATGAAGGCCCAAGTAGGTAACAAACTTTAGTGGTACATATATTGCCTCATAACCAGTCAAAACTCCTCTTAACCCACATCATGAATTAAAGAGAACATTGACAATAGGCCTTCACTCTTCTAGAAAGACATCATTTGTTAGGTCCTTTTTCCATGGTTTAGAATAAAAGAGGCAATAATTTGAAATGTCTCCCTCATAATAGGCTCTATAGCAAATTCTACTTTAAAGGCTATCATTATACAACAGATTTTAAATTCTCCTGTGAAAGTTATACTAAATAATAGAATTGGCTAAACAGAGAAATACCTGTGCAGCTGCTGACACTTGTGGCCTATGGAGAAAAAAGCAAATGTAAATTATAAACAATTCTGGCCAGGCATGATGGCTCATGCCCGTAACCTCAGCACTTTGGGAGGCAGAGGTGGGTGGATCCCCTGAGGTCAGGAGTTCAAGACCAGTCTGGCCAACATGGCAAAACCCTGTCTCTACTAAAAATACAAAAATTAGCCTGGCGTGGTGGCAGGTGCCTGTAATCTCAGCTACTCAAGAGGCTGAGGTGGAAGAATCACTTGAACCCAGGAGGCGGAGGTTGCAGTGAGCTGAGATCGCACTGCTGCATTCCACCCTTGGTGACAGAGCGAGACTCCCTCTCAAAAAGTAAATACAATAAAAATAAATATTCAGTTGTAGGGGATTAGTGAAAAGACCTGTTAGTCAAGGAAGTAGACTCTTCATCTAGCTCATTCTTTTATCTATTTAATTTTAGGTGGTTTGGCTTATGGGGACCCTGGGTAAGGAGCATACTCCTAACTCTTGCTATTATCCACCCAATAATCATAATAGTCTCCCTGGTGCACTGTATTCTTTCAAAGGTTTTAAACGCTTCCATGCAGCCATCTCTAGAATGTCAAATGGTCTCTCTTCAACTGGAATAACGAAAACTGAAAGAAATGTGTGACCATGAGGGCACCGTAACCTATGAATGACATGCTGAGACCAGAAACCCAAAATGGTGGTAACTGAGAGTGGTGCTAAGGCCCTAAGTTCTGGTCACACTGTCACCTAAGTAAGAACCTGGCCAAAAGTGGGAAATTTTTTTTAAACAAAATTATGGGAGGCCATTATTTTGGACTGAGCTCATGCACTAGGCCCCAACAAACCAAACTAAAATGGAGTCACTCATGCTAAATGTGACATAATCAAACTAAGGCTTTAAAAAAACACATAAATGCTAAAACAGACCAGGTTTTGTTTTTCTCCTGTAAACAGGATGTTCCAGCATAAGGAGGTATCCTCTACTCAGTCCTTATTCTCTCCCTGCAAAACCCACTGTTCCACTGTTTCCTAGTGAGTTTCAAAACCATATAGGTACACTTATGACAGTGATAACATCAGTAACTAAGGTTTTGGTCAATCTCTCAAAATTGAGAAAATGACCAAAACAGGGGAATTGTTAAGGCAAACTAAGTATGGCCTAAGAAGGACTCTGTCCTTCTATATTTAAGTCCTTGTAGATGAACTGTAATGTAGCTTAATAGTCAAACAAAATTGAAAACCTAACCTAATAGCATACATCTGTAATAATAACTGAGTAGTGGCCAATCCCAGTGGCCATACTTCAACCACTCACAGCCTGCTGAATATTCAAACTGCGTTCAAAGAAGGCAAACACTGAGCTGTAACCAACCTCACTGTTTCTGTACCCTACTTCCGATTCCTGTACCTCCCTTTGCCTTTTTTTGTCTATAAATTTGTTCTGACCATGAGGCACCCTGGTAGTCTGTGAATCTGCTGCAATTCTGGGAGTTGCCTGATTCGCGAATTTTTCATTGCTCAATTAAACTCCTTTAAACTTAATTCGCCTGAAGTTTTCATCAACAGAGTAAGCTCTCAGTAATGAATGGGCTGAGTGTAAATTGGAGGGATTTGTTTGTCTTTCTCAAGAGTAGGAACTTCCGGAAGGAAGGGGCTGCTCTTCATTTACGTTTCCCTTCCACTCCCATCCCTTAATGCCTAACACACTGCCTGGCACATAGTACGGGACTCAGTAAATGCTCGTTCAATGGGTCAGTTCAGCTATGAAGTCTGTGTGTCAGTCCAGGTAAATAAGGGAGACAAGGATTTAGGACTAGGGCGAAAAGAGCCCGATCGGGAGAAGGACGCCAGGGGGAGCAATAACCTGCACTCTCCAGATATCGCGAGAGCTCCCGCGCTCGCCACGACGTTGAGTGTTCCGTTTTGGGCGGAAGCGCTGGACGAGAGGAGAAACTACTATAGGGACAAGGCCTCGCCCATGGAGTGGGGGTTGCTTCCGGGTCGCGCTCCCGGAAACAGGAAGTTGCCCATCCTCCTTGCCCGGCGGCAGCTGTCCGCGAGGCGGGAGGAGCCCGAGGGGGCGCGAGCCCCGCATGTGAGTGACTGGGGCCCGAGGCTGGGTGGGGGGAGGCCGCCCTGTGACAGCCTCGCCGCCGCGCCCGTCTCTGACATCCTCGCGCAGCCGCTCCTCGCCGCTGCTACCACCCTCTATCCCAGCGCTGATCCCTTTTCTGAGCCTCTCCAGTTTTGTAGACTGACAGCATCCCCTGGCAGCTCCCGCGGGGTCGACTCCCTTAAGACATCTGTCACTTTCCTTGACCACGCCGGGGAGAGCAAAACGAGGTCGACCTTGCTTGCACTTGCTTCTCAGGCATCACAGCAGTGTCCAAAACTTGAGCGTTGCTAATGAAGTCCAGATTTCTGCCCTTTTGACAGAATTTTTAAGAAATTAAGAGTAGATTCCCCACCCCCTTCTGAAAGATGTTTTTCTAATAATTTTTAGGGGGAATTTTTTTTTTTTTCCTTCAAGCGTGTACTTGGTATGTGATAAACCTGGCATCTTGGATTTCAGAAAGAAATATGACTTGGTTTATTGACACCAGTAAAATAGTTGTTTGTAATCACCTCTTAGTAGAAGGAAATTTGCCTGCGTCATGTTTTGTAGTATTTTATGACTGTTAACTGTGCAGGCCACACTTTTTCTAGTCTCAGAGCCCTCATAGCCATAGTATTCGCAAATATGTTTCTTTTAAAGTATTTAGTCATCAATCACTTTATAACGGAGACTACTTCCAGATACTTAGTATTCTGGCTTTTCTGATTGCTCATTTGGTAGTTCCTGTGGTGGAATCTTCTATAGACGTCTCTCCCTTAACAAATTCGTTTATTTGAATTTGAGTTGTCAAAATTTCCCTCTAGGGAACAACATGCCTTTAAAATAAAAACTAATAAATCCAATTCTGCTACATTAAAGTGTTGACTAAAGGTTCAAATAGCCCAACTTGCGTACCAGAAAGAGGTCCTGTTTCTCTGTCAGACCTTTTCTGCCTTGGACTGAAGCATTTTTCAAGACCTGCTTTGAATACGTGTTCCTCGACAGCTACTCCACAAACCAAAAACAATGTCCAAATGCTAGATTGCTAACCTGCTAACGTTAAACCCTCATCACATTGATGCTACCTCTGCGTTTTTGTTTTTTTTTTTTGAGACGGAGTCTGGCACTGTCGCCCAGGCTGGAGTGAAGTGGCGACCTCGGCTCACTGCAAGCTCCGCCTCCCCGGTTCACCCCATTCTCCTGCCTCAGCCTCCCGACCTCTGCATTTTTAAAAAAGAATAAAAGAATAAAACGTGAATAAACCATGAACCATGAGTTACATTCAGTTAGTTCGGAATGATAACTTTAGGTCCTTTCTATAAATTTGTTCAACATTGATCTGATTCGACATCTGAGGTGAATTCCCATGTCTGTTCTTAGTTTTTTGTGTTTTCTCCATTTATCTCTGCTTTCAAGAAACACTATTTAGGGTGGGAGGTAGACAGGAAAATAGATGTAATACAAAGCCCTAGAGGTTCATAGGACAAAAACTGAGGTCAGCGTCTTAAAGAGTTCACTTATTGGACAAAGCACTGGAGATTAGGCTTTTTAGGCAGAGGAAATTGTGTATGCAAAAGCAAAAAGATATGAAAACATGTAACAGTGTAGAATGTGAAGAAGGATTGATGGGAAATGAAACTGAACAGGTAGGCAGTGACCAGATCATAAAGGGCCATGGTAAGTAATTTGGACTTTATCTTTAAAAAGAATCTCACTCCATCACCCAGGTTGGAGTGCAGTGGTGCGATTATGGTTCACTGCAGCCTTGAACTGGGCTCAAGCTACCCTCCCACCTCTGCTTCCCGAGTAGCTGGGTCTGCAGGCGTGCACCACCACACTCGGCCAATTTTTATTTTTATTTTTTTTTGTAGAGTCAAAGTCTTGCTATGTTGCCCAGGCTGGTCTTGAACTCCTGGGCTCAAGCAGTCCTCCCATCTCAGCCTCCTGGTGTCAGGATTACAGGCATGAGCCACCATGCTTGACTTGGGACTTTATCTTAAAATAATTGTTATTAGGTATTTAATTTGTCTGGCTATTGGAACAAAGGTGTTACATCATTTTATAATTCTCTTAAAACATTGTGGGGTAGAAATAATTATCCCCATTTTATACATGAGAACTCTGAGGCTTAGAGAGGATAAGTAGTGTCTCCTGGCCACACACTAAGTGGTAAAATCTAGAATTTGCATCCAGCTTTTTCCAACTCCAGTATCTGTGTTCTTAGTCGCCATGCTAAACTGCTCCTGCAGAGGATGGGGAGTGTTGGAAGGTGCTTAGCATGAACCAATTTGTGTTTCAAAAAAATAAGTGTCCGAGTGTGGTGGCTCACGCCTCTAATGCCAACACTTTGGGAGGCTAAGGTGAGCGGATCACTTGAGGTCAGGAGTCTCACCAACATGGTGAAACCCAGTGTCTACCAAAAAAATACAAAATTTAGCTGGGTGTGGTGGCATGCGCCTGTACTCCCAGCTGCTCGGGAGGCTGAGGCACGAGAATCTCTTGAAGTCAGGAGACAGAGGTTACAGTGAGCTGAGATTGTGTAACTGCACTCCAACCTGAGCGAAGAGTGAGATCCTGTCTCAAAAAATAAAAATAAAGTAAAAAATAAAAAACTGGACAAGGTAGAGGATGGATTGGGGAAGAGGAGAACTGGAAGTATAGAAATTAACTACCCTTTGTGTTGGTCCCTAGGAAAGACGTTGAGGGCCTTAACTGTGCCGTTAATGTAGAGGTAGAGAGGAGGGGATGAATGTGAGAATTATATAGGAAGCTGAATCGAGAGGACTTAGTGATAGTTTCATTGGTGGGAATGAGGTAGGAGGAGAATAGTTTTTAAATTTGGAGGATTAGTGTTTCCATTAAGAAAAGGAGTGCAGTAGGAGAAATGGGTTAAAGGAGAAAAACAGTAAGTTCGGTTATTGACACATTACATATAGGGAGCTATGGGAAACTTGGATCATTGTGTCTGGTAGGCAGGTAGATAAATGGGTCTTGAACCCTGGAGAGAGTCGTAGGCTGGAGAAGAGATTTGGGAATCACTAATAGCTGGTGGTCAAAGCGTTGGAGGGAATAAGAAGGTCAAGGATAACTGTGGTGGATACCAGCACTTGGGAAGAGAACGAGAGAATTACGTTAAGGTTTGAGTACACTTGTGGGAGATAATGGGGTAGCAACAGCAGTTGCTGCAGAGAGTTCAGATAAGGTAATAACTGAAAAAAAGTCCTTCGATCTTGGCGTTTAGAAAGCGTTTCATTTGTGGCCTCAGTGAAAGCAATGTTGTTGGAGTGAGGAGGCAGAAATATGATTTCAACAGGTTAATAATGGAAACCTGAGAAACAAGAAAGTGAGTGACTTTCTCCCCCAACCCCCAAAGGAACTTGCCTCTGAAGGGAGGGAGGGAGGGAAAGAGTACCAGAAACTTAGAAAGGAAGGATTATGGCATTTTTCTAATAGTAGAAACTGGAAAAGGTGAGGATGGAAGCAAGTAAAGGTAAGCTTAAAATGTGGAGACTTCTGCTTCAAATAGGTCAATGTCATAAAAGGCAAAAAAAAAAAAAAAAAAATGCTGGGGACTTGTTCTGGATTTAAGTAGATTAAAGAGAGGCGCGGCAGCCAAATTCAATGTGTGGTCATTGGTTGGATCCTGGATTTTTAAATAGCTATGTGGTCTTTCTAAAAAATTTGGTAGTTAAAGAAATTTGACTATAGACTGAGTATTAGGTAATATTAAGAGAATTACTCATTTTAATGGGTATGGTAATAATGCCAATGGTTGTACGGAATAACGTCCTTATTCTTAGGAGATGCATGTTGAAATATTTAGAAATGATTTCATAATGTGTTGCAAGTAACTTTCAAGTAGTTCTGGTAAAAACAGAAAGAAAATATAGCCAAATGGAGATAACTGGTGAATCTAAGTGAAGGATGTCCAGATGTTCATTGTACTATTTTTGTACAAAAAGCTGTACATATTTAATGTGTACAACTTGATGAATTTGGACATAAGCATACCCTTGTGAAACCATCACCACAATCTGTGCCATCAACCTATCCATCAACCTCCAAGTTTCCTCCTGCCTTCTTATTTATTATTACTGTTAGCAATAAAAACACTTAACGTAAGACCTGCCTTCTTAGCATATTTTTAAATATACAATACAGTATTGTTAACTCTAGGCACTGTGCTGTATAGTAGGTCTCTAGGAGTTATTCATATTGTATAACTGAAACTTTGTATTCTTTGCCCAGTACCTCCCTGTTTCCCCCTGCCTGCAGCCTCCTGTAACCACCATTCTGTTCTTTGCTTCTATGAGTTTAGCTATTTTAGATTAATTGTACAAGTGGTATCATGTAGTATTTATCCTTCTGTGTCTGGCTTATTTCACTTAGCATAATGTCCTCCAGGTCTATCCATGTTGTTTCAAATATCTAGATTTCTTTCTTTTTTAAGGCTGAATAATATTCCATTGTATGTATATACTACATTTCTTTTTAAATTTTTTATTCTTTTGAGACAGAGTCTCACTCTGTTGCTCAGACTGGAGTGCCATGGTGTGATCTCTGCTCACTGCAACCTCCACCTCCCAGCTTCAAGCGATTCTCATGCCTCAGCTTCCCAAGTAGCTGGGATTACAGGCATGCGTCACCATGCCTGGCTAATTTTTGTATTTTTAGTAGAGACAGGGTTTCGCTATGTTATGTTGGCCAGGCTGATCTCGAACTCCTGGCCCCAAGTGATCCACCCGCCTCAGCCTCCCAAAGTATTGGGATTACAAGTGTGAGCCACTGTGCTCTACCTGTACCTTGATTGTAAATTTTAAGCATTTATTACAGTTTTAAGTTACTATTTTAAATCATATTAATCATTTTAATGTTTTATCAGTTATTTTTCCTTTTAATTGATGTTTGTTTCTTCGTAGTGGTTCTTATTATAATCTAAGGAGCACTTTTTCTTTTTTTTCAATTGTACTTTAAGTTCTAGGGTACATGCGCACAACGTGCAGGTTTGTTATGTATGTATACATGTGCCATGTTGGTGTGCTGCACCCATTAATTAGTCATTTACATTAGGTATATATCTCCTAATGCTATCCCTCCCGCCTTCCCCCCACCCCCCTACAGGCCCCGGTGTGTGATGTTCCCCACCCTGTGTCCAAGTGTTCTCATTGTTCAGTTCCCACCTATGAGTGAGAACACCTGGTGTTTGGTTTTCTGTCCTTGTGATAGTTTGCTCAGAATGATGGTTTCCAGCTTCATCCATGTCCCTACAAAGGACATGAGCTCATCCTTTTTTATGGCTGCATAGTATTCCATGGTGTATATGTGCCACATTTTCTTAATCCAGTCTATCATCAATGGACATTTGGGTTGGTTCCAAGTCTTTGCTATTGTGAATAGTGCTGCAATAAACATACATGTGCATGTGTCTTTATAGCAGCATGATTTATAATCCTTTGGGTATATACCCAGTAATGGGATGGCTGTGTCAAATGGTATTTCTAGTTCTAGATCCTTGAGGAATCGCCACACTGTCTTCCACAATGGTTGAAGGAGCACTTTTTCTTTACTAGAACATATCTTAAATTAATGGGAATCACTGGATAAAATAGAATGGAATATATTCATAACACTAAAGAATGGATACCATACTACATGGGTAGTGTAATATTAAAGAGCCAAGTAGGGAAAAAAGAAAATTTAATTTACTCTGAATATAGCTCCTAGTGTTGAAGATTGGACATATCTTGATGGACTTTTGAAACTTTCTTTTGAACCGTACTGTTTCCCCTTTTGTGCTTTAACTAGATGAATCAGTTTTCTATCTTAGAGTTGCCTCGCTGGCATAGCTTTTCAGAAAACAGAGACTCCAGGGTAATGACATATGAGTGTTCAGAACTTACTTATCTCTATAGAGGAATTAGTTGTCTGTTACACAGGGCAAAAGAGAAGTTTACATTTCTCTTAACTTGCTTTCTGCTTTAAACAAACATTTGTATTGGTAAGTTCTATCCGAGTTTTTCTGTCATATATGCCTCTACCCTGTTTCTTCATAGACAGAGACCCAGAAGGAATTGTGGAGAACATCTCATCAGAGCTCTCACTCGTCTTCTCCTATTTCTGAAGTACTCCAGAAGTGAAACAACTCTCGGGCTTACGTCCCACAGGCCTCTCTTGAAAGCAAGGTTTCTCAACCTCGTTTTGAGGAGGGGTGGGAGGAGGCTGTCCTGTGCATTGCAGGATGTTTAGTCTTTGTCCACCAGATGCTAATAGTACTCCTCCAGTTTGTTGATTTTTATTTTTTTTATGATTTTTTTTTTAAACCTGGAGCCTTCCTATGTTGCCCAGGCTGGAGTGCAGTTGCTGTTCACAGGCGTGATCATAACTCACTGCAGCCTCTAACTGCTGGCCTCAGGTGATCCTCCTGCCTCAGCCCCCCGAGTAGCTGGGACTATAGATATGTGCTGCTGTGCCCAACTCCTGTCCAGTTTTGATAATCAAAAATGTCTTCAGACATTGCCAAATGTCCCCTTTGGAGCAGAATTACCCTGAGAACTATTATTCTAAAGTAGTGTCCTCTAGTGATCCTGCCTGTGCCCTTGCAGGTCTATGCCAGTGTTAGAATCAGGCTAACTCGTCAGAATTTCCCCCGTGGCAAAGCTCACTTCAACCAGAATTGGAATTACTTTCTGCAGGTAAATGGATTGCCATCAAGCCTCAGCTGATTTCACTCAATCCTCTCATGCTTGACGCATAGCAATGACCTTGTGTTTGATTTTTTTTTTGGGGGGCGGGGGATGGAGTCTCGCTGTGTCACCCAGGCTGGAGTGCAGTGGTGCGATCTCGGCTCACTGCAAGTTCTATCTCCTGGGTTCACTGCATTCTCCTGCCTCAGCCTCCTGAGTAGCTGGGATTACAGGCGCCCGCCACCATGCCCGGCTAATTTTTTGTATTTTTAGTAAAGACGGGGTTTCAGTGTGTTAGCCAGGATGGTCTTGATCTCCTGACCTCATGATCTGCCCACCTCAGCCTCCCAAAGTGCTGGGATTACAGGTGTGAGCCACCACGCCTGGCCTTGATTTTTTTTTTTTTTTTAAGGGATGAGATTTTTTGTTGTTGTTTAATTACCATCGTATCCAACCAAATCCCAATAGTGTCCCTCTAGCAAGACAGTAAAAAATGTCTCCGGGCATCCCTGGGGACAGAATCTTTTCCAGTTTAGGACTACTGATATAACCAAAGCCAGAAAGAGGGCTTATCATCAAAATCCACAGTTGTTCTTAGAAACGTTGTCAAGTTGCCATTAACTACCTTTCTGATAATTTGAGAAATGTGTCACAATCTCTGGAAAGAAGGATGCACGGCTTGCAAAAATATACTCAGTGTTGTAATATCATTCTAACTTGAATTACCCAACAAGAAAAGAAACCTTTTTTTTTTTTTCTTGTGATACAAACTGGGAGTTTAATAAGAATTTTAGGCCGGGTGCGGTGGCTCAAGCCTGTAATCTCAGCACTTTGGGAGGCCGAGGCGGGCAGATCACGAGGTCAGGAGATCGAGACCATCCTGGCTAACACGGTGAAATCCCGTCTCTACTAAAAATACAAAAAACTAGCCGGGCGTGGTGGCGGGTGCCTGTAGTCCCAGCTACTGGGGAGGCTGAGGCAGGAGAATGGCGTGAACCCAGGAGGCAGAGCTTGCAGTGAGCTGAGGTCCGGCTACTGCACTCCAGCCTGGGCAACAGAGCGAGACTCCATCTCAAAAAAAAAAAAAAAAAAAAAGATTTTTATGTATATGGAAAGGGCTTACAGGCCAGGCGCAGTAGCTCATGCCTGTAATCCCAGCACTTTGGAAGGCCAAGGTGAGTGGATCACTTTAGGCCAGGAGTTTGAGAGCAGCCTAGCCAATATGGTGAAACCCTGTCTCTCCAAAAAAGACAAAAATTAGCTAGGTATGGTGGCATGTGCCATTTTGTATTGTCTTGCTAGAGGGATACTGTTGGCATTTGGTTGGATATGATAGTAATTAAACAACAAAAAATATCATCCCTTTAATCCCAGCCTGTAATTCCAGCTGCTTAGGAGGTTGGGGCATGAGAATCACTTGAACCCAGGAGGCGGAGCTTGCAGTGAGCCGAGATTGCACCACTGCACTCCAACCTGGGCAACACAGTCTCAAAAAAAAAAAAAAAAAAAAAAAAAGAGACGTGAGGGGGCTTACAAAGGTTGCAAAACAGCCATCAAAAATGATGATGATTAACCCTGTTTTCCTCACCTGTACTTCAGTCCGCTTCAGGATTCTCCTACCGGCACACCAATGTGATGTTCTCTTCTGCCTGAGGGATACCTGCATGTGACCCCACCTCCCAACATGCACACTAGTTTTTCACTGGAATTTTTTTTCTAGAAGTCCTTTCTAGATCCTTTCCATTCTGGTCCTCTACTGAGTTTTAATGGGTTTTGACTGGGTATTGTTAGATAATGAATTGTAATGTATTTAAATGAATATTATTCCTGCTTGCTTTCATAGAATGTCTTTGTTAATTTAAACAGGAAAATGGCATCTCAGAATCACTAATCACAAAACCAAGATGTGAAAAATATTATAATGATAAGTTATCACTTTGCTTTATTTGCAGGAATCATTGTAGTCAATCATTTTCCAGTTCTCAGCCGCTCGGTTGTGATCAAGAGACACATGGTTTCCGAACTGCCAGCTCAGAATAGGAAAATACTTGGTAAGGGAGGCAGCATGCACCAACCCTGAATTCAGGACACTTGGGTTCATATCCTGGCAAGTTATGAAACCTTTCCGAGCCTTGAACATGTATGAAATGGAATCGATCACAGCTACCTTATGGGATCACAGTGGTTTCACTGAGATAATGTTTCTAGAGTGTTTAGCAAAGCACCTGGCATATAGGGTGGGAATAGGAATAGGAATGCAATTGAACATGAGTCTTTAGTTTCTAATGAATTGAATTTTTCTCCTTCCTGAAGTGTTCATAGATTCTTAGAATTTTAGAGTGAGACTCTAAAATTTGTGATCCAATCCTCTTATTTTTTGGATGCAGAAATAGACCAAGTAATTTAACTGAAATCATCTCACTAGCAATTGGCAAAGCTTGCAATCTCCAAGTTCAGTGCTGTTTCATTTTTCCAGCTGTAATATTTGAATACAACTCTATGGAGAACCAAAAAGTCATTGGCATGGCAAATCATGCCTTCTTCCCTGTGGTGCCATGGTCATGCATTGCTGTACATCTCTGACTCATTTTGTGCCCAATGATGTTCCTTAGAAGTGACCATGAAAATTTTGTGATTACAAAATTGATGCAGGAAAAGTTTGAGAAATGTGAAAATCACAAAGAAAATAAAAATCAGCGGTGATCTCATTTTCCAGAGATCGTCTACTCCTGACTTATTTTTAATTGGAAATGCTGCATCTTAATTTCTGGGGGTTTTTTGGTGTTATTGTTAGTATGGCTCTTAATGCTTTCTAATCCATCCTCCTGGCTGCTAATCAAAAATGGCTTAGTGAAAAGAATGTGAGGTCCAGATGAGGCTCAGGTGACACTGACTGGGTGGTCTCAGATAAGTCACTTCCCATCTGGAAATCTACTTTATATCTCTATAGATTTGCCTGTTCCTTGCAGGTTTGTTAAAAAGGTATTAAGAAAAAAAAGACGTGTCTATTCCTGACTTCTCATCTAAATGCAACTATATAATCTGTAGTTTTTTGTGACTGTCTTCTTTCACCTAGCACAGTGTTTTCAAGGTTCATCCATATTGTATCATATATCAGTACTGCATTCATTTTTATCGTCCAGTGATTTTGCATTATATGGATCTACCACATTGTGATTATCCTTTCATCAGTTCATGGACATTTGGATTGCTTCCATTTGGGGGCTGTTATGAATAGTGTTATTCACGTTTGTGCACAAGTTTTTGTGTGGACATATGTTTTCAGTTCTCTTAGGTACATACCTAGGGGTGGAACTGCTGGGTCATATGGTAACTGTGCCTAACTTTTTGTGGAACTGCCAGACTGTTTTCCATAGTGGCTGTACCATTTTATGTTCCTACTGGCAGTCTACAAGAGTTTCAATTCCTCCATGTCCTTACCAACACTTTTTGTCTGACTTCTTGATTGTAGCTATCCCAGTGGATGTGAAATGGTATCTCATTGTGATTTTGATCTGCATTTCTCTGATGGTTAATAATGTTGAGTATCTTTTTGTGTGTTTATTGGTCATTTGTATATCTTTTTTTGAGATGGAGTCTCTGTCACTCTGTCACCCAGGCTGGAGTGCAGTGGTATAATCTCGGCTTATTGCAACCTCTGCCTCCCAGATTCAAGTGATTCTTCTGCCTTAGCCTCCAAAGTAGCTGGGATTACAGGTGCCCGCCACCACACCCAGCTAATTTTTGTGTTTTTAGTAGAGACAGGGTTTCACCATGTTGACCAGGCTGGTCTCGAACTCCTGACCTCAAGTGATCCTGCCACTTTGGCCTCCCAAAGCGCTGGGATTACACATGTGAGCCACTGCGCCCAGCCCATTTCTATATCTTTTCTGGAGAAATGGCTATTCAAATCCTTTGTCTATTTTTTTATTTGGTTGTCTTTTTATTACTGATTTGTAATAATTCTTGATGTATTCTATATAGACCAACCCCTTATCAGATACATAATTTGCAAAATTTTTCTCCCATTCTGTGGGTTGTCATTTTACTTTCTTGATGGTATTGAGACACAGAATTTTTAAAGTTTTTCCCCTTCCCTTGTCTTCTACAAAAAGTTTTTAATTTTGATGAAGTCCAATTTATTTTTTTTGTTGCTTGTTCTTTTGGTGTCATATCTAAGAAACCATTGCTGAATCCCAGAATCATGAAGCCTCCCTCCCTGTGTTTTCTTTGAAGTTTTATCGTTTTAGCTTATAAATTTAGGTAGTTGATCCATTTTGAGTTAATTTTTATGTATAGTATAAAGAAAGGGCTGGGCATGGTGGCTCACACCTGTAATCCCGGCACTTTGGGAGGCTGAGGTGGGTGGATTGCCTGAGGTCAGGAGTTCGAGACCAGCCTGGCCAACATGGTGAAACCCCTTCTCTACTAAAAATACAAAAAAAATTTGCCAGGCGTGGTGGCGGGTACCTGTAATCCCAGCTACTTGGGAGGCTGAGGCAGGAGAATCACTTGAACCTGGGAGGCAGAAGTGGCAGTGAGCAAAGATTGCGTCACTGAACTCCAGCCTGGGTGACCAGAGCAAGACTCTGTCTCAAAAAAAAAAAGAAAAGAAAAGAAAAGAAAGGTCTAACTTCATTTTTTCATGTGTGGATATCCAGTGGTCCTAGCATCATGTATTGAAAATAATACATTAAAAAATATATAGCTGTCCCTTGGTATATGTGGGGTATTTGTTCCAGGATCTCCACATACACCAAATCCTTGCATATTCAAGTTTCACAATCAATTCTGCAGAACCTGTTTATACAAAAAGTCATCTCTCTGTATATGTATACGCAGTTTTTGCATCCTGAAAATAGTGTATTTTCAATCCTGGGTTGGTAGGAAAAAACAGCTTTTAAGTGTACCCACATAGTTCAAACCCATGTTGTTGAAGTCTCAACTGTAGTTTCTACTGGCTTTTTATCTGAATGTGGGGGGTATAGTGTGGTGGGCTCTTCTCTCATTCCCTCAGTTCCTCAAAGTCTAGATTGCATGCCTTTTAATCCACCATTATAAGTCTTCTGATTCTGATTTAATTGGTCTGAGTTGATGCCCAGATATGAGCATTTATGAAATGCTTTCTAGGTGATTCTCATGTGCAAGCCAGGTTAAGACCTAATGAACTAAACACTTAATAGTCATAAAGAGGACCAGAAAGGAGTGATTGGGAGGCACACTGCTGGAAGAGGAGATGTGCTGGTGTGTGCTGGGTTGTGTTGTAACAACGTGACTATGTCCTCCACCCTACAGGTGGCAGCATCTCCTTACTGAGAGAATACACATGTACTATGCCAGTACTTTTTGAGGCTAGAAGCACTGTAGGAATGAAGTATGTAATATAAAAGGACCCTCTGTATTAAAAATAAATAAATACATAAAGCCCAGTAGAAGAGAGCATAAACCCAAAGAAGCACTCTTCTTCCTCCTGTAAATGAAGAAAAATATTATTGTTCTGTAACATAAACACTTTTTAAAATAGCTATTTAATTATTTTATCTTATTGTATTTCTCCAGAGATGGGATCTCGTTCTGTCTCCCAGGCTGGAGTGCAGTAGTATGATCATAGCTCACTGCAGCCTCAAACTCCTAGGCTCAAGCAATCCTCCCACCCCAGCCTCCCAAGTAGCTGGGACTACAGGTGTGTGCCACCAGGCAAAGCTGATTTTTGAAATTTGTTTTTCTTTTCTTTTTCTTTCTTTCTTTTTTTTTTTTTGAGATGGAGTTTCGCTCTTGTTGCCCACACTGGAGTGCAATGGCGTGTTCTCGGCTCACCGCAACCTCCACCTCCCGAGTTCAAGAGATTCTCCTGCCTCAGCCTCCCGAGTAGCTGGGATTACAGGCACCCGCTACCACACCCAGCTAATTTAGTATTTTTAGTAGAGACAGGGTTTCTCCATGTTAGTCAGGCTGGTCTTAAACTCCTGACCTCAGGTGATCCGCCTGCCTCGGCCTCCCAAAGTGCTGGGATTATAGGCATGAGCCACCGCGCCTGGCCTCTTTTCTTTTTTTGTAGAGGCGAAGTCTCATTATATTGCCCAGGCTGGTCTTAAACTTCAGGTCTCAAACGATCCTCCTGCCCTGGCCTCCCAAAGTGCTGGGATTACAGACATGAGCTATTGCGCCCAGCCTTGGAACTATTTAATTTCATTTTACAAATGATACAGAGAGAACTCTACTTTGCCCCATTAGTTTTTACCTTTTGTTCTCTGGACATGATGAAACAATCTGGCTTTAAAATAACTATAAGAACACAAATTGAATTTTTAAATTAGTTAAAAATCTTAAGTCTTTTAAGTATATAAAATACAAATAAAATATGCCCTTTATTTTCTAAAATTGTATTTGTAGAAAAGCATGAGGACTCTGTTTGCTCTAGAAGAAATTAAAAAAAAAAAGTAGAAAGAAAAGTGTGAGGACTGCAAGCCGCATGCCATGGTTTTTGTGTTGTCTGAAATCTTTGCTCTGCAGTCACCTTCAGTAATCTTCAGTGATCAGTTCTTCCTCTTGTGTTGCTAAAAGTCTATCTGGTATAATTGGAAAGAAATAATTGATCAACAACACTATGCATAATCCATTTTTTTTATTTTAGGAAATCACCAGTAGCAGATCTCCCATCATTGGTGTCAGAAATCTTTTTTGGATGTCGTTAGTGCTTCAGAGTCCCATTAGGATATATTGTGCTCTAGACCAGTGCTCCTCAATGTTTGGGAACTAGTGCAGGTCTGTAAACTGTTCCTGGCCCACAGTTAACTAGTATTTTAAAACTTGTTTGGCAATTTGACATTGTCTCTACGTATTCATTGTGTTTTATAAAAGTATTGGTCTGTAGAGGATTGCAGAAAACACAAAACAGGTCCTTCTCTACAGATGGTCAAGTAGCTTTGAAGAGGAAGTACCTAAATAAACCACCTTTCTTTTTACATTTATTTTCTCTCTGTCTCTCTCAGGGATTTTATATTGGAAGACATGGATCTTGCTGCCAACGAGGTCAGCATTTATGACAAACTTTCAGAGACTGTTGATTTGGTGAGACAGACAGGCCATCAGTGTGGCATGTCAGAGAAGGCAATTGAAAAATTTATCAGACAACTGCTGGAAAAGAATGAACCTCAGAGGCCCCCCCCACAACATCCTCTCCTTATAGTTGTGTATAAGGTAAAATGTTTCCTGAGTTGGTAATTGCTTCAACAGAGCACAAACTCTTCAACATTCTTCACAAATGCTATTGTTGACTGATCCCACCACTGAGCCTTGGTTTTTCTGTGAATGAATTGGCCTTTGCTCTTGTTACTGTGTGTTACTAGGAAATTTGACTGTGTTGTTAAAGGTCCTAGATGAAAGCTGCATATTTATAGTTAAATTATATTTGCATATTATTATTATTTATTTTATTATTATTATTATTTGTTTGTTTGTTGTGTGTGCATGTGGTTTTTTTTGAGACAGAGTCTCACTCTTGATGCCTAGGCTGGAGTGCAATGGCGCGATCTCGGCTCGCCGCAACCTCTACCTCCTGGGTTCAAGTGATTCTCCTGCCTCAGCCTCCCCAGTAGCTGGGATTACAGGCATGCACCACCACACTGGGCTAATTTTGTATTTTTAGTAGAGACAGAGTTTCTCCATGGTGGTCAGTCTGGTCTTGAACTCCCGACCTCAGGTGATCCACCTGCCTCAGCCTCCCAAAGTGCTTGGATTACAGGCATGAACCACCACACCTGTCCTCGTTGTGTTTTTTTTTTTTTCTTTTTTAAGACCGAATCTCGCTCTGTTGCCCAGGCTGAAGTGCAGTGGCATGATCTCAGCTCACTGCAACCTCCGCCTCCCAGGTTCAAAATTTAGTGGAGACAGGGTTTCTCCATGTTGGTCAGGCTGGTCCAGAACTCCCGATCTCAAGTGATCTGCCTGCTTCAGCTTCCCAAGGTGCTAGGATTACAGGCCTGAGCCATTGCGCCTGGCCAAATTTTTATTTTTCTAGTCAAGGTCACACTCTGTTGCCCAGGCTGGAGTGCCATGGTGCCATCATGGCTCACTGCAGCCTCAAACTCCCAGACTCAGGTGATCCTCCCATCTCAGCCTCCCAAGTACCTGGGATCACAGGCATGCGCCACCACACCTGGCTAATTTTTCTATTTTTTGTAGAGGTGGGGTTTTTCCATGTTTCCCAGACTGGTCTCAAACTCCTGGACTCAAGTGATCTGCCCGCCTCAGTCTCCCAAAGTGCTAGGGTAACAGGCGTGAGCCACTGCACCCAGCCTTTATGTATATATTTATTAGTTTTTTGAGATAGAGTTTCACTCTTGTTGCCCAGGCTAGAGTGCAATGGCATGATCTTGGCCCACTGCAACCTCTGCCTCCCAGGTTCAAGCAATTGCCCTGCCTCAGCCTCCCGAATAGCGGGGATTACAGGCATGCGCAACCATGCCTGGCTGATTTTGTATTTTTAGTAGAGATGGGAGTTTCACTATGTTGGTCAGGCTGGTCTCGAACTCCTGACCTCAGGTGATCCACCCACCTTAGCCTCCCGAAGTGCTAGGATTACAGGCATGAGCCACTGTGCCCGGCCTAATATTTGTATTTTTAGTAGAGGTGGGGTTTCACCATGTTGGCCAAGCTGGTCTCAAACTCCTGACCTCAGGTGGTCCACCCGCCTTGGCCTCCCAAAGTACTGGGATTACAGGTGTGAGCCACTGCGCCCAGCCCCTTTGTGCTTTTGTTGTTGTTGTTGTTGTTGTTGAGATGGAGTCTTGCTCTGTAACCCCGGCTGGAGTGCAGTGGTGCGATCTTGGCTCACTGCAAGCTTTGCCTCCCAGGTTCAAGTGATTCTCCTGCCTCAGCCTCCCAAGTAGGTGGGACTACGCCCACCACCACATCTGGCTAATTTTTTGTATTTTTAGTAGAGACGGGGTTTCACTGTGTTAGCCAGGATGGTCTTGATCTCCTGACCTCGTGATCCACCTGCCTCAGCCTCCCAAAGTGCTGGGATTACTGGTGTGAGCCACTGCGCCCAGCCCCCTTTGTGTATTTTTAAATGGTGGATTTAAAAATACACTGATTATATGGTAGCAGCTTGGTGAGCCTTGCAGTCCCCATAGTTCTCAAATTCTAAATTCTTCCAGAAGTAAACATAAGTGATTTGTTTATGAAAATGGGTTGGTTCTTAAGGCACATTGGAAATAGCAGAAGAGGCCTATTTTGTTTTGTTTTGTTTTTCTTGGTATTAAGGTATTTGTTTGCTGGGATGATTATTAATGCCTTTTCTACCTTTCCTTGTAGGTTCTCGCAACCTTGGGATTAATCTTGCTCACTGCCTACTTTGTGATTCAACCTTTCAGCCCATTAGCACCTGAGCCAGTGCTTTCTGGAGCTCACACCTGGCGCTCACTCATCCATCACATTAGACTGATGTCCTTGCCCATTACGAAGAAGTACATGTCAGAAAACAAGGGAGTTCCTCTGCATGGGGGTGATGAAGACAGACCCTTTCCAGGTAAAATGCAACATTTACTACTTATTAGATACAGTTTTCTTGACAGTATATGATAGGAAAGGAAGTAACATTTATTGATACCTAATGAGAGGCACCCTTCCTATATTGTCTCCTTTAATTCAGTCCCCACTAAAACTCTGTGAGATGGGGTTTATTATCCCAATTTTACAGATTAAGAAACCAAGACTCAGAGAGATTAAGAAACTTGCTAGAGGAACATCTGGTAGAGCCAAATTCACACCCCCAAATGCCAGAACACACATGATGGGGATGAATATGTTGCCCATAAAAAGGATTTGATTGTATCTCATCCTTTTCTCTCCTGTGATTCCTGTCCATAATGCATATTTAGTACATAGGTATTGGTTTATTGAAAGCAACTGAGTTCAGCTTGCTTCTAAAGGTCCTCTAACAGTCCTTGGCCTATTGGGCTAGGTTTTTGCCTGAGTATATCCCACTCTTTCAGTTTAGTCCTTCTGTCTGTCACAGCTCATTTAATTTAGTGCTCAAAAGTGTATCAATTTTGCCAGTAAATAGAATTTTAAAAACACATAAATTTAGTAATAGTGCATCAGTGGCGTAAGAATTCATAGTTTGACAGACTATTTGAGGGGTTTCCTTTTGAGAATAGTGTAACATGTAATACGAGTCGAAATTTACTTTTTCGGGCTGGATGCGGTGGTTTACAACTATGATCCTAGCAATTGGGAAGCTAAGGCAAAAGGATTGAGTGAGTCCAGGAGTTTAAGACCAACCTGGGCAACATAGCGAGACCCTGCCTCCAATTGTGTGTGTATGTGTTTGTGTGTGTGTGTGTGAAAAGAAATTTACTTTTTGAGAAAGGGGGATATTATTTTGGGTTTTGTTTTTTTTTTTTTTTTTTTTGACCGAGTCTCGCTCTGTCACCCAGGCTAGACTGTAGTGGTGTGATCTCAGCTCACTGCAAGCTCCGCCTCCCGGATTCACGCCATTCTCCTGCCTCAGCCTCCCAAATAGCTGGCACTACAGGCGCCCACCACCACGCCCGGCTAATTTTTTTGTATTTTTAATAGAGACAGTGTTTCACCGTGTTAGCCAGGATGGTCTTGATCTCCTGACCTCGTGATCTGCCTGTCTTGGCCTACCAAAGTGCTGGGATTATAGGCATGAGCCACCGCGCCCGGCCTATTTTGGGATTTTTTTGGTGGTGTTTATCTTATTTGGCAATGTAGAATAATATGTATATTAATATCACAAATGGATTATAGAATTTATTGTGTAACCATGTTCTGAAACTTTTAGAATGTGTCATAACTTTTAGGAAAAATGCTTTCAGAAAAAATGTATTTAAGCTTTATAATCATAATGTCATTCTTTAAGACCTAATCAGTCATAAAAATCATCCCTTGGATTGGGTCTCCATTGAAAGCTATTTTTGTACACTTGAGGAAGTCATGGAAAGGTTTCCAAAATTGTATCAAACTCAGAGGAAGGGAACATTGTAAGACAAGAACTCCACCTCATGAGTTTTTGTTTTTTTAAAAATCAACAGCTCAGATATTTCATTTGAAAATTCCAGATATAACTTCCTTGAATTTATTGGGAAGGTTGTTTTTGAAATGTCATCAACAGAGCTGAAAAAAAAAAATGCAGTCTCAAACTCCTATCAGAACGGTTCAGAGCATTTGGAGGAAACAGCGAGAGAAACTTGTCAGTTGGGCCAGTCTGTGCCTCTTCCTCAGACATACCAGTCTCCTTTCCTGACTGTCTTCCCCCGACAACCTCCCTAACGGCAACTCCTGATGAGTTTTCCCGATCTGGTTGATGGCATTATCTTCTTCCCTGGTCCTGTGAAGTACATCTCCATACACGGTTGAATTGAGAAATGGGGCATCGTCAATGAACACTGCTTGCTCCTTCTCTAAATCATAGTTTAAACATTCCAGAAACATTAGTGTCTTGTCAACAAGCTGGATGATTTGGACCACTTCAAATCAATATTTTGCCTTGCAGATGGAAATAAAACAAGTCCTTGGAGCTCAGTTGCAGAGAGAGCGAGTGAGCGTTGGAAGGGTGTGGCTTTAGCTCTTTAATGTTGTTGATTCTATTAAAGTGCTGTTTTTACTTGTAAATGTGGACGTGGAAGCACCATATTTTCCTATGTATGATAATTCTGGGAAGTTGTAGACATGTGAAACTAACAGCATTTTGCATAGCATTTGGAAGAAAAGTTAAAAATGCATAATTATATGAAGGGTCAACAGAAACACATGAGGGAGAATTAAGTGCAACTTAATCTGGGCCTGTAAGAGGGCAGGAAAAGTAAAAATAGATCATTTTTAATGTCCTGGTGTTAGAAAACAACTACCTTCAAGTTAGGATTACTTAGCTGTACTTTTAAAGTAAATGCAAGGGGAGAATGGTGTGGCAGATTCCCCAAAGGAAACCCCATATGGTTTCCTGAAGTGCTGGCCTGTCTCACCCTCCCAGGGTCATCTGGTGCTCCTTGCAGTGGCACCTCAGGAATGATGGAGGGCAGCTGCAGCCTTGGTGATATATAAGAGGCACCACCACCAGTGACTAGAAGTTTCCCCCGACCCCACCCAGGGAACAAAAAGGTGACAGAAGTGGGGTTCTTTTTCTAGATTTCAGCCTTAGATAGGAAATCCTGCCCCTAAATGCTCTCAATAAGAAGAATGAAGTGACTTCGTAGTGAGTCATGGAAACATCCCACTCTGCAGCAAAAAATAAGTGAATAAACTGATACTTGTTTATTACTTACCAGATGCCAGACCCTGTTCAGGGGACTTTCCATATATCAGCTTATTTAATCTTGACAACATCCCTATAGGGTAGCTTCAGGTTTTATGCCCATTTTACAGATGAGGACACTGAGGCACAGTACGGTTAGGTCACTTGCTCAAGGTCCCAAGTCTAGTCATGGAGCCATGATTTGAACCCAGGCAGCCAGTCTTCAGAGTCTGAGCCCTTCACCTCTGATGTGAGTAGTCTGTAGCCATGCGGTAGACCTGAAGAGTCTAGCTTTAAGTCTGATGTTGGAGTTCTACACTCTCTGTCTCTCTCAGATCATCAGTTACTTTCTCTTAACTCCCTAGTCCCTGAAGAGACAATGTTCTTTCTGGCTGTTCCAAAGATAAGTGGTCTTTCAAGCTATGGACCCTTTAGAATTTTCCTGACCTGGTCTTGTCTTAGACATTCAGTCCAGCTCATCCTCCTAGTCTGCACCCTTATGGATAATATTTGACTGACTTAATCCTTCCTCTTACCCAGAGTTTTCTCTTTACATTCACATTCTTAGTTTTTTTCTCCCCTCCTGGACTCATATCTTTATAGTCCCTTTACTCCTGCCAACCATCCCCTTGGTTTTTACCATTTCCATGGAATCATTGAGTCTTAAAGCTGAAAAAGAATTTTAGATTTAATCTGGTACATACCCCATTTTATAAAAGAGGTAACTGAGGCCAGGAGGGGTAAAAGAGCTTGCTTACCCAGCTAAAAGTGACAAAATCACACTTGAACCCTAGTTTCTTAACCCCCTCTAGCATTCTGTCCAAGATACCACACTTACTGCCTGCCATCTCTGCCCTCAGTCAAGCCAAGCACCAGCATGTTCGGCCAATTATTTTGTTTACTTTGGTCATTTTCTGGCCAATTTAAAAATAACACATTCATTTTTACTGAGGAAGCCTGGGATAGTTCTCACATACAGTGAAAAGGCACACATTTGGAACTTGATGCATCCAGTGACCTTCAAAGGAAGGATGAAGTAGATCCAGCAACATCAAGAAGTTTTGGAAATAACAGATCATTTATTGGCCTCAAACTAAGAACCTAGTGAGACTTAGAGTCCAGACCTGTGCTCAAAGATGAACTGCTTAGACCTCAAGGAAAACCTTACTCTTTTGTTTGCAAAATAAGCTTACCTTCTGTGATAATAATGGCTCTGTCAAGCACTTTCTGTATACCAGGTACTGTGCCGTGTACTTTATGTGTATTTCTCAGTCTTCATAGCAGTCACATAAGGTAGATACTGTTTTTATGTTCATTTCAAAGATGAGGAAACTAATGTGCAAGGGGATTGGCTGACTTATCTAAAGTCTTACATTTGTTTATTTATTTTTAATTTTTTCCTTTGCTGTGTTTTTGATAATAAATTTTCACATTTAGAAACAAATTTTTGTACAAGTGAGAACTCATGAAAATAGACTCTGTCTATGGTTTGGAGTGGTTCAAATGCATTGCTTCCTGGAGGCAAGGCTGTTGGTGAAATGATTTCTTGGGCTCTTTCCCTCTCTGCAGTGTGTGAAAATGGCTCTGGGCATGGTGCCACACATGCAGGGACCTGGCAAAAGCCTCCTTCACTGTCAAGGCTTCACCCCTGCCTCATGCCCAGGGTGCTAGAAGAGGTGCTATGCAAAAACAAGCTTCCGGAGAACCGCCTGATTAAATACTGAGGACACACTAGTTAACATCATGGGAACTTGGTCATGGGCTTTGTAGCTTTTTCTTGGGTGCATTTATAATGTAAGAAATCATGAGGTTATATTTATTTAATCTTTATTTTGAGGTTTCTGTGAATCCAGATTGCTCATTTGATTTTTCTCCCCATGGACTTGATTCTATTGTTAAAACTTCTGAAAAATCAGCCTTCCTACCTGCCTTCCTGCCTTCCTCCCTCCTTCTCTTCCTCCTTCCATCCCTTCTTCCCTCTCCCCAACTTCATTCACTCATTCAATAAATGTTTATTGAGACCTTGCTCTATATGCCAGGCACTGTTCTCAACAAAGCGGTGAACAAAACAGACAGAAAATCTGTTTCTTATAAAAATCTGTATCTGAAAATCTGTATCTTGTATTCTGTCACCTTACTAAATTCTCTTTTTAGTACTAACAGTTTTTTACTTGTGTTCTTAGACCCTCAAGGAACACCACCTCCAAGTTTTTCTTTCAGTTTGCTATTCCTACTTTCTTTTTCTTTCTTGATTTCCCTTTACTGGGTTTTCTTCTACCTGCTTTTTAAAGGCATCTCCACCTGGAAATCCCAAGAATATCTAAAGCTCAGAATAAAATTAAAATTAAATAAATTAGGCTAGACTGGGTGCAGTGGCTCACGCCTGTAATCCCAGCACTTTGGGAGGCTGAGGTTGGTGGATCATCTGAGGTCCGGAGTTTGAGACCAGCCTGGCCAACATGGTGAAACCCCGCCTCTACTAAAAATACAAAAATGAGCCGGGCTTGGTGGCAGGCACCCGTAATCCCAGCTACTTGGGAGGCTGAGGCAGGAGAATCGCTTGACCCCAGGAGGCGGAGGTTGCAGTGAGCAGAGATCGTGCCACTGCACTCCAGCCTGGGTGACAGAGCGAGACTCTATCTCAAAAAAAAAAAATAAATAATAAGTTGTAGTTAAAATAATTATCCTAACTCTTAGGTTAAGAGCTGTTCGCTGCTAGCCCATGCAGCACCTTTGTACAAATTCGAGGAAGGTGCCCCTTTCTCCTGGTGCTTTACTCTCATCTCCTGGGAAGATTGTCATAATTAACTGATTCTGTTGGAATATGACACACTACTACAGAAAAGTGTCATAATAAATCTGGAGATGACGTTCCCTAGATGAGCACTAGACATGGGCGATAGCAGAGATCTGCAGGTTTATGATGACACTGACCAAGAGGACAGCGTAGTGCAGACATTCACAGTAGTGCTGCTTGGGGCTGTAGGTTTCATCCTCACTGCTTCTAGAATCCACCCCTTTTTTCCATTCTCACTGCCTCATTCATTATATTTCACTTCTCATCACAGTGGAACCCCCCCCCACTTTTCCCTAAAAACGGGCAAAACTAAAATATAACCAGGTCTTTCTTTTCCCAGCCTCTCTCTTCTAGGGCACCCTAATCACAATCCAGAATAATCTTCCTAGAACATGGAGAAATTCCTGCTCAGAAGCCTCCAACAGTTCCTCTTTTTGTTCTGAGTGGAGTCAGACATGCTTCAAGCCCTGGAAGCCCTCACCACATCTCCCTCTGCAGCCTGTTTCCTTACCCAAACCCCCACTGCACGCCCAGCATCTCCTGTGTTCTTCCTGCCACACTCTGGCACCTCGGGAACTTCCTATCACCTCTGACTTTCAGTTTGTTCATCCACAGAATGAGAATAGTGATTCCTACTTAGTAATTACACAGTGAAAATTAAATGCTATAACATGGGAAAGTGATTACCATAGGGCAAGCACTCAGTGCGTTAGCTTTCTTTCTCCTTCCCCTTCCGTTGCAAGTACTTTGGAAACTGAAATGCTATATAATTGTAACATGTTGTTATGATTATGCCTCATGGTGTGTCCGTTACCCAGAATTTTTGCATATTGGCAAGAATTTATTGTATTTGACCCTGAATAGGAAACATTTGAAAATATTAGAGAAGAAAAATGCAACTTTGCAGCCTCAGTGTGCCACTGAAACAGGTGGCACTAAAGGGTTGTCAGCTACCCCCGGAGCACTGTGGGAGGAGAGGTGCCCTCCCAGGAGCAGACTGTATCAGTAATCCTCTGGCTAATAATCTTCCTGCAGGTTGGGACTGGCTGAGAAAGGTAGGTGGCAGTTGCCTCCCGGAAACACAGATACTATCTGCAAGAGATGGAGGATGCTCAGGAGACCGGCCAAGAACAAACACGGTCCTTGCCTGACAAGGATTTCCTATGCCCCACTACTACTGCCTCAGAGAAAACAAGGATAAAGCGCTTACTGCCAACCACAGAAAATGTTTTGTGGTTAAGAGTCAGTTTCCAAGTATGTTTATTGGTTTAAAAACTTGACTTCGTTTCAGCCACATTTGGTTGTCTGTTATCATTTGTTGTAGGCTCTCTCCTGATTTGGTTTCCTTTGGGTTTTAATCAGAACCATCTTCTGAAACATTTTAGATTCAAAGCAGAGTTTAAAACAAACACATCTCTCAGAGAACACAGATGAAATCCAAAATGGAACAGAAAGTAAACAAGAAATAATGAAATAACATTATAAACAGCATGGCAACAGAGGGAAGCTGGGAAAGGCTGTGCAGAAACAAGAGCCCCTCAGAGAAGGAGCCAAACCAGACAGGCGTGTCAGGGAGCCGCTGTCACTCACAGCAGGGTCTGGGTTGGGAGTCTTCCATTTCTGACCAGCATGTGGGGCTGGAAACTATGGCCGGCGGTCCCACCCCGTCCTGAGCTGGTATAGAGTGCTGTCTTATGGACAGATGCAATTCACTTTATTCCAAAGATGGCTCCAGAAAAGTCCTGTCTACCCTCTCCATCCCTTCCCTCTTCTATGCCCTTTTCTCACTCTTCCTTCCCAGAGTCCTGGCTCCCATGTGTACTTGTGAACCAAGGGTCTAGGCACATATCCAGCATGTGTGAGAAGTGCATTAGGGCACAGCGATGATGGGGTCACCCTTCTATCCACACCAGCCCCCCTGTGCTGTAGACATTTCGGCCCTATGGGTCATAGGTTAGAAAATGTTGGGAGAACTACATTTTTAGCTCCACGCTGCTGATAGTTTTTCCTAGCTGTTACGCTTTATTTGTTGATTTGATTTAGGAAATGCATGTACAGGTTAAAAGATATTTTCCACAAAGTGTAAAAAGGTATACAGAGAAGAGTACCTCTCCTTCCTGCCCCTCTCCTCTACTCCCTCCTCAGAGGCTGCTTCATGTGGACCTACCTTTTCGGCGGTCTCCAGGGCTTATCATTGTGTGTTTTAAAAATTATTATGGGCTGGATGCGGTGGCTTGCGCCTGTAATCCCAGCACTTTGGGAGGCCGACGTTTGGGCAGATCACTTGAGCCCAAGAATTCAAGACCAGCCTGGGCAACAGGGCAAGACTCCGCTCTAACTAAAAATACAAAAATTAGCCAGGTGTGATGGCATGCATCTGTAGTTCCAGCTACTCGGAAGGCTGTGGCAGTAAAATCTCTTGAACCCAGGAGGCAGGGGTTACAGTGAGCTGGACAGTGCCACTGCACTCCAGCCTGGGCGACAGAGTGAGACTCTGTCTCAAAATAAATAAATAAATAAATAAATAAAAGTCATTCTGATGTTTTTCCTTTCTTGTTTCGTTGCTGGAGCTACTGGATGTACCGGCTGTGCTCTTTCAGTATCTGCTTTCTGCTCTTTCAGTATCTGCTTTCTCCATATGCCTTCCTCTCTCAGACTTTGACCCCTGGTGGACAAAGGACTGTGAGCAGAATGAGTCAGAGCCCATTCCTGCCAACTGCACTGGCTGTGCCCAAAAACCCCTGAAGGTGATGCTCCTGGAAGATGCCCCAAGGAAATTTGAGAGGCTCCATCCACTGGTGATCAAGGTGAGCAGAAGCCTGAGTCTCCCACTGATTGGCTGCTTGCTTAAAGGCTAGGTCAAGCTCTAGGAAATTTCTGACAAGTAACTCTGTGTTGTTTTGTTTTACTTTGTCTCCTGCCTTGCCAAGACGGGAAAGCCCCTGTCGTCGGAGGAGATTCAGCATTTTTTGTGCCAGTACCCTGAGGTGATAGAAGGCTTCACTGAAGGGTTTTTCGCCAAGTGGTGGCGCTGCTTTCCTGAACGGTGGTTCCCATTTCCTTATCCATGGTGAGTGTGAAAAGGGCCGGGCATGGTGGCTCACGCCTGTGATCCCAGCACTTTGGGAGGCCGAGGCAGGCAGATCACTTGAGCCTAGGAGTTGGAGACCAGCCTGCCCAACATGGCAAAACCCCATCTCTACTAAAAATACAAAAATTAGCCACGTGTGGTGGTGCGTGCCTGTAATCCTAGCTACTCTAGAGGCTGAGGCACGAGAATCACTTGAACCTGGGAGGCAGAGGTTGCTGTGAGCTGAGATCGCGCTGTTGCACTCCAGCTTGGGTAACAGAATGAGGCTGTGTCTCAGAAAAAAATGGGTGGAGGGTGGCTATGGGGGCACTTAGCTTGTGAGTAGGAAAGGGGCAGACCAGAAATACTCGCAAAACAGTAATAGCTATCACTGAGCCACTACCACAGGCCCAGCATTTTACAAATCCAATGCTGGGATCCCACTGATAAACCAATGATGAGAGAGAAAGGGGATGGATGAAGAAGTGTGTCAGAAGGAGGGGCGCCACCAGCGGGAGACAGCAAGTTTGTCTAATAGAGTCATAATTTATTTGTAAGTATGCGTTTAGCATTATATGTAGAATGTGGCCTCATGCAGGGGGCTGAAGAGAGAGTGCAAATATTAGAAGGAGAATTGCATTTTTTGGCACTTGTTTCTGCCAGGCAGTGTGCGTTGGTGCTTAGTGTCTGTGGCTCACTGGAGACACTGATAATAACTCTGGAAAGTAGGAATGATTGTTGTCATTTTTCAGATCAGACAAGTGGGAATCAGTAGCCAGCGTGGTGGCTCATGCCTATAATCCCAACACTTTGGGAGTCTGAGGCAGGTAGATTACTTGGGCCCAGGAGTTCGAGACCAGCCTGGGCAACATAGGGAGACCCCATCTCTACAAAAAATATCCAAGCTATTTGGAAGGCTGAGTTGGGAGGATGGCTTGAGCCTGGGAGGTTAAGGCTGCAGTGAACCATGATCACACCACTGCCCTCCAGCCTAGGCGACAAAGTGAGACCCTGTCTCAAAAAAAAAAGGAAGGGGGAGAAAGAAAGAAAAATGGGAAACAGAGAGGTTAAGTAACTTGCCTAAGGTTACCCAGCCACGATCGAAACCCCAGTTTGTCCTGCTGTTCCTTCCTGTGCCCAGCGGAAGACATGGTTCATTCCTTGTGGTTAAAGTTGCTGCCTAGTAAGAAAAGAAAGCCAGTTTCCATCTTAGAACTGTTCCAAAATAATTAAAATGGCTTTTTCGGGCTTTTTGTTAATGTCTTAATGCTTCTATCTTTCTTTAAATGTGCTGTTTGTTTGCGTGCTAGAGTGCCCAGTTGAACAAGCTGAGCAGGCTTCCCCTGCGTCTCCCTCTGCCTCGGAAGAAGGGTCATGCTTTTTGTCCCTTCCTCCTTCTCTCTTCTTCCCTTCCCCCTCCTGGCCTGCTGTTACTTCAGTCTTCTCCAAGATAGAATGAATAGATTGTTTCTTTCCTTCCTCTATATATTGTTTTAGCTGCAGTTTAAAAACACTCCACCCACATGTTCAAATCATGGCTGTAGAGTTAATGCCTGTTTGTGTCCATGTTATACTTCATTGACTCGGTGCAACTATTCTTCAGGGACCTAATACTTAAGATACTGTACTCATATTTTTTCCTCTTTACCCACCGCCCACGGTTTTCCCACCCTTACTTGGCTCTCTCTTAGTCATGGACTGGCTTGACCAGTTTAATTACTTTTTTTCTATTTCAAACTTCTATAGGAGAAGACCTCTGAACAGATCACAAATGTTACGTGAGCTTTTTCCTGTTTTCACTCACCTGCCATTTCCAAAAGATGCCTCTTTAAACAAGTGCTTCCTTCTTCACCCGGAACCTGTTGTGGGGAGTAAGGTAGGAAATTTTGAGAGGACTTGGATCTAGAATTTTCTTTACTTGGGATCTGGACTGATGTCATAACCACGGCCTTCCCTGCATATTGGCTTAGAGGGTGAATTGAGGGGACGCCCACACAGTCTAGTTCTCCCCTCCTGCTGCTAGCCAGGAGACTTGCAGGGGCACACCTTGTCATGAAGGCAGGTTTCCAGAAAGTCTAGTTACCTTGCAAATCTGCCTCCTGCGCTTAACACCTAAGGCAAGCTACTTTTCTATATTAAAAGAAGTAAAATCTTAAAATTTGAAGGACTTCAGTGTACAATTAGTCTGGCTTTCCTACCTTAAATTCCTACCTTAAATTAGAAAGTCGGCAAGCAGCCATGAATGGTGGTCGCTCATGCCTGTAATCCAGCACTTGGCGGGGCTGAGGCAAGAGGATTGCTTGAGCCTAGGAGTTTCAGACCAGCCTGGGCAATATAGCAAGACCCTGTCCCTATTTTTTTTTTAAAAAGAAAAGAAAGCTATAAAGGAATAGCTTTACTTCTTCATTTTGAAGAACGGAATAACTTCTTCATTTTGTGGATAAGGAAACTGAGCCCCAGAGAGATTAAGTGAGTTGCCCAAGGACACACCCTTTACCCTCTAACCCCCAGGGTGGTTTTTGCCAGAAATAAACAATTAAGAGATTTCAGGTAGAGAACTTGAAAGGCAAAAAGTGTGGGAACCTGGGAAAGATTTGATAGGCAGGCAGCCCAGCTGGGGTGGAAAAGCCCACTCTGCCCCCATAATTTCCCACTTCAGTCTGGGGCCAAGTGCTCAGAGCCAAAGTTGCCTCTCTGGGGCCAGTGGACTGGGAGAAGCTGTTCTGCATTTGTGTCTGTTTACTTTTCTCTGAATTGCTCCTTTTGTTAAGTCTCATTCCTAAGGAAGGTTTTTGAGCCTGGATTGGTTTGGGAGAATTAAAAGCATGCATTTTCCTTGGTAAAAAAAAAAAAAAAAAAAATTTCTCAAACTGTGGCCCCCTACCAACTCTGGACCGTGGCTTCCACCTCCTCATACTATTGCTTGGCTCCAAATTTGCTGAATTGTGTTAAAGGAATTTAAAAGTCTATGAAAACAATCATTTTGTCTAGAAGTAAGAAGTTCTGTCTGCCAGCACTGGGGTGGAGATGCTGGGCTCTTGCCTCAGATTTTAAAGAAGTTTATCCTGCTGTCGCCGGCTAGAATTCCAGGCCCTTGTATGATTTCATCTTCATAAATATAATTCTGGGACACGGCCTTTATCTTTCTCTTGGTTTTACCACTTGAATACCAGAGTTAATTTCTCCAGCCTGTGCAACATCAAGGAGCCCAGCCAAAGGAGTAAATACAGAGTTACTCAAATGCTTACCAAAGTCATACTGTGGTTCTCGAGGATGTTTTGGGAAGGGCAGTGGCCAAACAGGCAAAACTCCTGAGAGCCTGATTTCTTAGAGAATCTGTTTCCCCACCCTGGCCCAAGCTCTCCTTTCCCTGCAGCCTTGTAACCCCACCCTGTTGTCCACATCCCTGGGCCCTGTTAAAGTCACGTGTCTGTGGGCCCAGTATCCAAAGGCAGCCTTAAGACAGAAGTGGGAAGCTGGTTGTTAAGTGGCACTCGGGGAGATGGTGAGGGGCTCCAAGGCCCACTTCACCCACTCCACAGTGTGGCCTAGGGCTGGCCTGTGCCGCCCTGTTGTCTGTTTCTTCCCATCCTGGGAATGGATGACTGTGACCCTACCCGCTTCAGGCCTGTGTGAAGAAGGATACAGCCACTTGTTTTGGTCCTTCTGAGATTGTTGTGAGGACTACAGATGGTAAGGCCTCCGCCAATGTGAGTGCCAGTCAACTGCAGGCTGGCGGAAGACCAGGCTTGTCCCTGTCACCACATTAGCAGGTGAAATGGCTCTAGTGTTGCCATGAAAACATTATGGGCAAGGCCTGTGGCAGCAGCAGAGAGACCAGGGCTGGGGACAGGGGAAGACGGGGCCAAAACCCAAGACTCTGGAGGCCGTGAATGGTGAAGAGAAAAACCAAGACATGGCCCAGGGAGTCAGACTTCTGGCTCCCACTTTATATGGGCGTATAAAGGGTTTCTCTGAAGGGCAGGAGATAGGAGGAAGAGATGAGAGAAGAGACCCTAGGGGTTTTCTGTCATCATCAAGGTAAGGAGAAATGTCCCAGCAAGACCCATCTCTTTATCCCTATTCCCTGCCCTGGTCCCAGCCCCATCCCCAGGGTTCACAGCTCCTTCCCTGGCACATAGCAGGTTGCATTTAATGCCCGTTGCCGGCAGTAGCATGCCCTCAGAGGGGCAGTAGTTACCTGTGCAGGTGCATATGCTGGTTGTCTCCTTAGTTTTCAGAATCAGAGGCCAGTCTTAGTGTCATTAGTTTTTAATCAGTAGCATGGCCTGCCTGCTCCCCTGGGTCTTGCCAGGCAATATAAACTTAAACTTCCTGCTGTGCAATACTTATCAGAGCCCTGGTAGTAAGAAATAACATTCCATGGAAGAGTGCCGAACCAATGTCCCGATTATCTATTTATCTAAAAAGTATTCATCAAACCCAGAATCTCAGAATGTTGTATACTTCAGCCACCATTTGTTGGTTTCTGCTAGAACTACCTTTGTTAAATTGCAATTAGGTATTTTCCTTTGGCTTACTTTGAAGCTGTGGCTAAAACCAGTTGCAAATTATGAAGCTCATGCAGGATCTGCTCTGGGGCTCTCACTGAGGGGATTGCCCACTAAATCACACAGTGCCTCTTTAGGAGACCCACGGAAGAGATTGTACTCTGGTCTTAGTGCCAAGAGATGCCATTCTTAGGAGAAGTAGTTTGTTTTTGTCTTCTGGACATAATTGCAAATTTTTCTTATTGGTTCTATTTCCTCTTTGCTCAGGCTAGAAAACTCAGAGCCATATGTGAAAGCATTTTTATTTACTAAAGCCCCTGGTTTTATTTTGTTTTCTTTGCCTTCCTTTTCCTCCCCTCCTCGTTCTTTCCTCCAGATGCATGAGATGCGTGACCTATTTATCATGGGCAGCGGCGAGGCCATGTTGCAGCTTATCCCTCCCTTCCAGTGCCGAAAACATTGTCAGTCTGTGGCCATGCCAATAGAGCCGGGAGATATCGGTATGGAGGGCCCCAGGAGGGCAGGGTCAGCCATGAATCTTTTTAGTTTTTAATTCAAAAGCTATTTTAAGAATCGTGTACTGCCTTCACAGAAGTTTTATTTAGTAGAATCAAAAATAACATTCTCCTATTAACAGGCTCAACATTTATGCTTAGAAATGAAACAACTTAATGAGAAAACATAGCAGAAAGAAATGTCTTGTACGTACAACATATAGAATGCATGTGTCTGTTGACCGTAGAAACTTCAAGTTAGGAAGGATTCTGGAAAGTATTTAGACCAATCCCTCGTTTTATAGATGAAAAGGTTGAGACCCAGAGAGGAGAGGTGACCACCCCAAGGCCCCACTATCTGTTGAGCAGAGCATCAGGTCTTAAGTGCCTGCTTGGACACAGTCAAGCCAGGAAAGGGACAATCCAGGACTACAGGAATATACACCCATGTTGCAAATAAACCAATACCAAGCAGTATATAAGGGCAATGGTCACACAAGGAAATATTACCTTCTGTGTGGCTGCCACAGCCAAGTCACAGCCTCACATTGATGACTCACCCTTGGCCCTGGCTCAGTGTTTTCCCAAATGTGACTTGTCCTGTGCCTTATATCCTAAAAATCTGTTCCAAAGAAACAGGTTTGAATCCACTGCTGTCAGTAGCAATCAGTTTGACAGCCGAGTTTTCTTGGAAGAAACAAATAAATCAGCAAGTGTCACCATTGACCTCCTTGCTTTTCCTGCCTCACAAAACCTAGGCAAGACCTGGAGTCTCTGGCAGAGCCCAGACTGGGTTTTCCAATTGATTTCTTTAATTTTACCCATTCAGAAGACCCCCAAATCCCTAGAAACCTTGCATCTTATATGAGGGTAGGAATTGGACTGCAAGCTATGCCAAGTTTTAATTTAAATTACATAACTTTTATTTCAATTTAGAAATGAAAAATAAAAATAATGTGCAAATCAAGCATTAACTAATAATGGAGCACAGCTGGCCTGGCTCTTGGGAAACTTCCTACAAAAAGGAAGATTCTTGTATGGAAATTGTTCTGAACCTTTTTCCTGTAATGGAGTGACTCTTAACACAAGAGATGACTATTGCGAAAATCTCTCTGGCATATTTAGGTTTGGAGCATGTGGTTGTGCTTGAACAAGTTTCTGTCTTATATTTTACAAATGCCTAACAATTCAGACAACTACAGAAACACCTTAGTTATCTGAATTCCAGACTTCCGGCTCCCACAAGCAACCGGAATACCAATTACAGAATTAGGGGGAAAAAAAAAAAGAAATGTCTGGCAGTAATCAAGAAAGCTTGAGCATCAAATGCTGGTACAGATAGTCCAGATTAGCCTAACATCCAGTGCGTGATACCTGCTGTGCTGTGCCTGACTGGTTTGTTGACTAGAAAGAAAGGATCCCTGTAGTTGGCAGTGTCTATAAAAGGCCAGTCACATGACAGAACATAGAGAGGGATGGTGACTGAAGAGAAGAAGAATAGGAGAGCAAGCCCGGGAGAAGAATGGGGGCAGGGAGGGGTGGGGAAGCCAGCGAGCACCTGAAGCAGTGACAGAAATGGGCGTGATGACTGTAGCTGCCACGGTTAACAGTAAGGACAGGAAAGCAGACCCTGGCCAAGAAGAATCATTTAGTGTTGCAGGACAGACGGCGGTTCCTCTACCTTAGGGACCCTTAAGAATGGCACCACAACATGCAAGTTCTATGATTTTTGACAAAACATACATTGTTCTGTGGAGATGGAGGAAAGAAGGGTTCCAGATCACCAGGAAACCTTTCGGGGGTCAGGTACAATATCTGCAGTCACTGTACAGGACAGTCATTGCCCATCATGACCCTTCCGGAGTCGCCAAGTAAAAGTTGAATTCTACTCAGTGCTCTTCGTTTAAAGATGAGCAGGGCCCATAGTACTCTAGAACCTGTTTTCTTTGGAATATCTTACAGAACTCTACTGTTTGCTGAACCCAATTTGGGCAATGCTGGTTTAGGTTTAGGTTAATCTGGATGTTGTGTAATGAAACCGCATTATAGAAAGACACAGGAAAATTGGCTAGTAGGTCTTATGCCCCCTCAGAATCCATTCTGTCTTCTTGCTGTAAAAGCTGAGACTTGATGCCCAACACCAGCCTCATGTAGAGCATCCTGCCGTTGTAAGCCTGCTGAATTGTGATTCATAGTTCCCTGGGTGAGGGGCGGTGATAAAGCATTTAAAGAGGACTGATAATAACTAGGAAGTGCCAAAAGACTTTCAGAGCAATTTGTCTTTAAGCCAGGAGTGGTGGCCCACACCTGTAATCCCAGCACTCTGGGAGTGAGAGGCAGGAGGATCACTTGAGCCCAGGAGTTCAAGACCAGCCTGGGTAATATAGTGAGACCCCATCTCTTAAAAAGAAAAGAAAAAGAAAAAAAGAAACTAAATTAAATAGAAAAAGATTTGTCTTTGGCTCTGCAGTGCACCCTGAGGGCCAGCTCTGGCAGACCCGCCTTGCTCTGCCCACAGGTGTGCCCACCCGCTAACATTTACATGTTTTCCTCTTGCTATTTCCCCTCAAGGCTATGCCAGCACCACTCACTGGAAGGTCTACATTATAGCCAGAGGGGTCCAGCCTTTGGTCATCTGCGATGGAACCACTTTCTCAGAACTGTAGGAAAGAGAACTGTGCACAGGAACAGCTTCCAGAGCCGAAAACCAGGTTGAAAGGGGAAAAATAAAAAACTATGAAACTGCTTTCCAGGGGTTGGTTACTTAGTTACCTGCCCTTTGCATGCATGTGTGAACCAGCTGTGAGCTGCAAGGCAGTGGCCAGGGCCTAGCCCTCCTGACTCTTCCTGCAGATGGCTCAGGAAGGATTCAGCCTGGCCACTTGGCTAGGACTCTGCCAGCACCCATCTGAGACTGACCTCTTCCGGGCCTTTGGGCACTAAGACCTTGATGCTGCCCCTTAGGCAGGAAACAGGGCTGGTGTCTGCCTTCGCCTGTATTGCCAGCTTCCTTCCCTGGCAGTGGAGAGGGCAGCCAACAGGTTCTGATGTCAGAGCCATCCTTTACCAGGTGGGCCTGCTCGTCCCCATCTTCCTGGCCACATCACTCTACTTTTTGGAAAGCCATGGCTGATTAAAGAAGTTCTTGTAGTTTCCCAAACGAAATGGAATCTAGAAGCAGTGAAAAAAGGTCAGATAACTTTGAATTGCATTCAAGAAGTACACTTCTTTCCCATTGTCCGTGGCACTTGGAGTCTCTATGATGCCAGGCTAGAGTCTGATCATATAATAATTCAAAGTGGTAACTCCCAAGGTAATGCTTTCTTCCATTTCATCAGGTTCTTATATCCCCACTGCACTCCCTCCCCTTCTCCCTTGCCTGTCTGAATGGCTTCTTGGAAGCTTGGCTCTAGTCCTCCCTGCCTTGGCAGGGCCAGAGCCCACTACTGCTGAGGCAGCACTGCTCTTGTCAGCTGTGTTGCCTTTACCAAGTGTCTTCAGAGGGTTATGAGTTAGAGTAGCTGGCCGGGGGAGAGGGTGCCTCCCTGGGTTTGATCTTTAGGGTCTGACTTTCTGCAGAGAAGATGTTTTACAGATGTGTCAAAGCTGATGTTGTAATGTGGTTGGGGGAGGAAATCCAGACCCAAAGTGTTTGTCAGCTGGGTGTACAAATGACTGTGTGATCCTCTGTCTTAAAATGATTTCTGTCTGTGCTGGGAAACAAAAACAAGGTGAGGTATTTTTCTTTTTTGTAATAATATAAAGCTGTGTGTTTCTGATTGGATGATTCACTATGTGCATTGTTTTCTCCCAAGTGCTTTCGGTATATAGCAATCAAATGGTGTAAATAAGGATGTTCTTTTCCTGTTCCTTTTTTTTTTTTCTCTATTATTCTTTTACTGACACCGCTAGATACCTGGCCATTGGTCATGCCAATGCCAGGATGAAGAAAAAGCAATCTACACTTTGGCCTCTGGTTCTGAATTGCAGAAATCAAATGGATACATTACGTGTCGATGTCAGAATTATGGATCAGAGGCAGACAGTGATGAGTGAAGATGGTTGTGAAGCCCTCTTCATTCCTGGAGGAGCCTGCATCTCATCTCCCAGGCCCTCTTTCTCTGTGGGTCTCATGCCCAGCAGTGGGGAGCACTGCGCACTTGAATGACCTGTTTGTCTGCGGGCTTACAGAGGACAAGCAGAGTTCACAGAGCTCAGGGTGGAAACATCAGAGCCTCCTCCACGGGCTTCAGTGAAACTAGGATGAACTGTACCTGAGGGAATTTTTTCTTAATCAACCCCTTGTGTGGATGAATACAGGAAAAACAAAACTTGTGTACATATAAAAGTCATGCTGTTAAGCAGCTATGATTTAAGAGGTTTTAAGTCAGAGGGATCATGTAGAGGCCGGCTTTGCGTAAGCTTTTACAGCCTTCTGCAGTGTCCTTACCCTGGCCGCACATGGGGAAGGGCTGTATGTAAACAAGTGCTTTAGAGGCCTCTGAGAGTTTTTAAAAATTAGACCTGTTAACAAAAAAGAGGGTTTCTTAGGAACAAAGCAACTGTTTTGATTATTGAGATCTCTGTTTTGTTTCTGTGAGTTACTCTGTGTTCCTTTCCGCATTTCACTGCTGCCCTTCACATCTTAAATGTCCATAAAATACCCACTTCAGCTCAAAACTTTGAAAACGAAGAAACCCTTGCATGTGTTGATATTCTGAGGCATCCCCCGGGAAAGTCTCCTAAGCCCCATTTTGTACTTCAACAAAAAAATGACTGTAGCTGAAGAAAAGTAGAGACTTTCATGCATACGCTACTCATTTTACTTACAATCTACCCAGTTCAGACTTGAATGTAAACTTGTATTAGGAGAGAATTCTCCAAAGGGGGTTTTCTAGATAGACAGAGGCAGTTCAGCTTCTCAAGTTAATTTTGATAAACAGAATCTACTAGTGGCCAGAGCGACGGCAGTAGCTAGGGGTTGCCAGCCAGTCCCTTTCTAATGATCAAGGCCCTGAGCAGCAGGATGCCCCAGGATGCCCCTGCCATCTAGCTGGAAGCAGCGGAAGTCCCTCTGCATGACTGGTGTGGGAAAGAGGGTTGTCAGGATGAGAAAGCAAGCTTGCAGGGTGACGACAGGACCACCTCACCAATTCCCCACCTCCACCACCACAATAAGAACAAAACTGTAGGGCTCTAAAGAGAGGGGGTGGTTTATAAGTTTATTGAGCATTTACTAGGAGGTGACATGGCGATGACCTCTGCGCATGAGTTAGGTTCACTTTCTTGTAGGCTCCCGCCATAGAGACGCCTGTGCCCAGAAGTCAGCTCTCTGAGGAGACAGGCTACTGTGGCCCCAGTTTGAAGCATTTCTGTCCAAATGTCCTGAGCTCTCCAGCAGTCAAGTAGTGAATGGATACCATACTTACTATGGTTGATGAAAGGAGGCAGAGCTTGTCCTCCAGTTTTTTTAGGGAAGAGAGGGAATAAAATAAAAGTGATTCAAGCTGGGCACGGTGGCTCACACCTGTGAGCCCAGCACTTTAGGAGGCTGAGGCAGGCAGATCACTTGAGGTCAGGAGTTCAAGACCAGCCTAGCCAACAGGGTGAAACCTGTCTCTCTTAAAAATACAAAAATTACCCGGGCATGATGGTGGCGCCTGTAATCCCAGCTACTCGGGAAGCTGAGGCAGGAAAATTGCTTGAACCCGGGAGGTGGAGATTGCAGTGAGCCAAGATCGCGCCACTGTACTCCAGCCTGGGCAACAGAGCGAAACTCTGTCTCAAAAAAAAAAAAAAAAAGAGTAGTTGTGCCAGGTGTGGTGGCTCACACCCGTAACACCAACACTTTGGGAGACTGAGGCAGGCAGATTGCTTGAGCTCAGGAGTTGAAGACCAGCCTGGGTAACATAGCGAAACCCCGTCTCTACAAAAAAAATTTTTTTAATTAGCCAGGTGTGGTGTCACACTCCTGTGGTTCTAGTTACTCAGGAGGCTGAGGTGGGAGGATCACTTACCCCCCTGGGAGGTGGAGGCTGTAGTGAGCTGTGATTGTACCACTGCACTCCAGCCTGGGTGAGACCCTGTTTCAAAAAATAATAATAGTGGTTTATGAAAACAGAAATCCACTATTCAGTGAAATACAAAACAGTCTATGAAATGGGAAGATTGGGGGGCTCGCTTTCTGAGAGAAAGGAGTAATAACACTTGTCTAGTACATTCCAGTATACAAAGTGCCTGATATACATGATCTCCTTTAATCTTCACCCAATCCTGTAAAGTAGGTGTTAGATCCTCAGTTTACAAGGAAATAAGTGGAGGCTGAGAGCAGTCAACTGCTGGCAGGTGGGTAGCTGGTTCCACAGCTCATCATTTTCCTGCTGCATCACAGCATGGTGCCCAGGAAGAGGGCGGTGGATGTCGTTGACTCACATGTGTCCCCGTTGGAGTGGGAGAACCCAGGGATGGGGAACAGCAAGCCAGGAACTCCGCAGGGTTTGTTTTTAAAACTCTGCTGGGCAGAAGTGGAGGAGGAAAGAATCTAACCATATGACTTTTATAAAAATCCTTTCACTTTTCCCCTCCCCATTTGAAAACTCTTTTTAAGAGTAAATGTAGCTGAAACACACTGTGTCCAGCCATTTTCCTGTCTCCACATTCTTCCAGATGTGTGACAGGGGAGGGATTCTGCCCCATTCCAGTTGTGGGTCCCCTTGGAGTTTACATCACTTGTTTTTCAATTCTTGATTTTCTGTTCCCGTCTACCAAAACCCAGCATAGGGCTCGGTGTACACTTATGTTAAAACAAAAACTCACGTTTCTTAGCTGCAGGTGATGGCCTCAGTCATTTTAATACAGCCTGGAATGAGTTTGCTCATTACCCAATCACTTTCACAGTGAATGTTCAAACCCCAAAGCAAATATTTGCATCTCCTTGTCCATAAAGGAGAAAGCTGGGTTATAGGAGAAAGAGAGGGAAAGGTGCGTGTCTGTTTGCACAGAGAGAGGCAATTTTGTCTACCTTTCAAGAATCAGTTATTAAACAGAAGGACCTCTTAGGATTTTGAGCTCTCCTAACAATGAAGGAAAAGCTCTCTTGAGTATACAAGTCCCACACTCATTACCTTTCAGTGGTGAGCCATCACCCACTAGAATTCGTTGAAGGAAGGGAGTGTCAGAGATGTGCTTTAAAATTGTACTTTAGGCAGACATTCTCTCCATGTTTGGACCTACAGATGTTGTGTACAGAACCGACGCGTGTCAGGGTCAGGAAGCTAGGAGGGTGAAGGCGCTTATGGAGACGGCCCTGTAGTGAATGAAACACGGGAGCCTCCGGGAATGTGCTTGTGTCACCAGCAGCAGGCATTTCCCTGTCCTCCCCACCCCTAGTCTCCACATCCCGAGCGGCCTCTTCCAGAAGCATGTCAGGGAGACAGACAGGTGCTGTCTCTCTCGTGCACCACATCCAAGTCCACCCACCGTGGACACAGTATGACTAAATGCTGGCCTTGAAGAGAAACCGTCTAGCCAGCTTGTCTGTTGTCCAGGTCCCTCAGTATCTCTGGTTTCCCTGCCCTGCATAATTTAAGCATTAGTGCTAAATACATCTGTCATTTTCCTCTCCCTGGAGACCGTGAAATGTCCAGACTTTTTCAGACTAGTGGAGGGAAGGAATGTTACGTAACTAAGTGGAGGCCTGGAACTGTCAGGACTTGATAGAGCTGGACCAGAGACCCTTCCGCCTCTACCTAGTGTGTCTGTCAGGCAGGCAGCAGCCATCAGTCCAAGAATGAGCCACGGCGGCAAGCACCGTGTGGAGAAGGGAACCCAGCTGAGTTAGGAGTTTCAGACAGAAACTGGGGAGTTGGGACATCTCTGTGCCGGGCTTCATTGACACCATCACTCCCCACAGCAGCTCCTTGGGGCAGGGTGGTCACCTGTGCAGCCACCGTTACTCACAGTAGCATTCCATTCTTCACACTGCAACCCCTCAGCACTGTGGACCCTTCCAGGAAGGTGACAGGAGCCAGCAGACACATGGCATTCCCAGAGAGCCCCATCTTATCATAGACAGCCTTCCCTCCATACTTGTTTCCACAGTTTTACCCTCAGAAAAATGCTGTCCAGGCCGGGCGCGGTGGCTCAAGCCTGTAATCCCAGCACTTTGGGAGGCCGAGACGGGCGGATCACGAGGTCAGGAGATCGAGACCATCCTGGCTAACATGGTGAAACCCCGTCTCTCCTAAAAAAAATACAAAAAACTAGCCGGGCGAGGTGGCAAGCGCCTGTAGTCCCAGCTACTTGGGAGGCTGAGGCAGGAGAATGGCGTAAACCCGGGAGGAGGAGCTTGCAGTGAGCTGAGATCCGGCCACTGCACTCCACCCTGGGTGACAGAGCGAGACTCCGTCTCAAAAAAAAAAAAAAAAAAGAAAAAAAAAATGCTGTCTGCAGTCTTCCCTTCCTTCACCCCCACCCCAGGTGGGGGCTCAGTAACCAATGCTGAGGGCCAGGGACAGAGGAGGCACAGGCAAGCTAGGGACTCAGCACAGTGCTCCCCACCATCATCAGGGGCAGGTGCCAGGGTCAGCTGCAGCTCCTTCAGGGAGCAGGGTGTGGTGGGCCTGGATGGTCCCAGGGAGCAGAGGGAAGCAGGCAGCCGTCCCAGCCACAGGGGCTCCAAATGGCTTGAGCTTTTACTATGTGTTCTAGTGCAGGATAGTGCAAACTGGTAAAGACGTCCACCGTGTGAAGAATGTATGTAAATTAAAGTTTCATGTAA